CATCATCATCATCAAGCTCTCTCTCTCTCTGGCGCGTCGGTCGAAACTACAGCCAGTGTTTTTCCTCTGCACGTCTGTGAAAAAAAAAAAAAAAAAAAAATCTCTCCTTTATTCCTTCCAATTTAAATAATCGAGGATGAATCAATAGCAACGGTGCCACGAAGACCGGGAACTTTTCTCTTACAGCAGTGCCACATTTGTGTTATACAGTTTGGGTATACAGTTTATTCTCGGATGGTTTCTCCCGAGAAACTTTTCCAAGGCGTCGTCAGCCGTGCTCTTTGAGGAAAAAATAAAAAATACAGGCCACGCGCGGAACTTTTAAAAATACGTACAACGCGAGCAAACGGAAAGGCAGGAAGAGGAGGAAAAATAGCGAGGCGTCACACCTGTGAGAGGCGTGAACGGCGCGGAGAGAGAGTGCATATAGGGGCGAAAGTACATATATATACGAGTGTCGAAGAGTCGAAGGAAAAAAAAAAGTCCTAAAAAAATAAATTTCGGAGCCACGTATATAACGGCGCAGCCTCACAGCCCGGCCAAATAACTCGACTGTGCACACTATATATATATATACACCACGAATATATATGATTTGTAAGAGCTGAACGTAGATGAAAAACGCGCGTATACATACATGGTTGCCGAAGAAGCAAGAAGAAGAGATATAGAGTGGGCGATGAAAAAAAGTAAAAAAAATAAAATGATAAATAATCGTACGTAACACGTTGTTGGACGCATTTGTAAAGTGTGTGAGTGTGCGTGCATGTATATACGCAAGCGTATCGTAAAAAATGGCGTACGTATGTATTGGAGAGATATGGAATTCAAAGATGGTGATTGATCGACTATCGACGCTGTATGTTGTATGGGTGTTATATCGGAGTACGATGATAGTGTGCGCGAGCGAAGGATTTTTTTTTTGTTTTCCTCTCGAGAATGGTAACGAAGGGAAAAAAGTGTACGTATATAGATACGCGTTTCGACGGCACCCAACATGTAACTATTCGGCAAAGTTACTCTCGTGTAGTAATAAATATAGCGCCGGACAAGGAAAAAAAAGTAACGAAATGTATTATATACCGTTGTAAAATTAATCACGGAAAAACGAGCAAAACGATACCGGTGATTTTTCCTGACGCGCGTCGTAATGATTTTTCGAATTGTTAATTTGTACACTATTACTATTTGTCGTTGTTTCACGTGGTTATTGGTTGTTCGTTGGATGTTTAAAGGTATCTTTAGTTTTTTCCGCTCTTGACGCGAGTGACGACGAATATCTCGTATCTCGGCGCGCGTGAACGAAAGCAAGGGGGCGTGTATTCAGCAATGTTTCGCTGTATACGGTATGTATAGCGAATCAACTCGAAAACCGAACGAAAAAAAAAAAAAAAAAAAAAAAAAAGTCAACGTCTTGGTAGATGACTCAGACACCAATGATGAACTATATGTATATGCAGTTGGTAAAAAAAAAAAAGAGAAAGAAGCAATAGCTCCTGTTATTATTTTTTCTCTCTCGTCCCTCCCTCCGCGCGACACACGAACAAATTCAGCTGAAATTTCCGCCGCGACAGCTCGTAATAACGCCCGTTCTGTGGGAAACAAGTAAACCGGAGGAGCGCAGCTCGAAAAATTTTCAACACACTTTGTATACGCGACAAAAGAGGCGAGCGTCGCTCCTTTTTTTTTTTTTTTTTTTTTCCTATAAGTATCTCTCGCGCTGCATAAAGAAACATCACGGCAAAAATCTTTAGTCTCGCGTGTACGTGTATATATATATATATGTGTGTGTGTGTGCGCGCCGCCCATCGCCAGATCCTCCGTGACCGCGTCCGATTTGCGTAGCTAACATCCGGGGAGAGAGTAATTTAATACGGAAAGCGAAAGAAAGAGCTGTACGGAGGGTGAAAAAAAAAAGAAAGAAACGAGTGGAAATTCGCGTTATTACCGTCGCGTTCGTTCCACATTGGTTTTCGAGCGCGAAAGAGAGAGAGAGAGAGAGAGAAGGGAAGGCAATATAATGTGTGCCCGTGATGCGTATTGTTAATAATGGATCGAGCGAGAAAAGAGAGACTGCACGTATACACACGCACACGTGCACCCATACAAAGTATAAGTATAAGTACATACACCATACGTGATACACGAATGGTGCACGATTGGTTTTTCATACACGTGTGTGCGCGCCGTTGTATCTCTATATTTATGTATATAGAGGCTCTTATGCGTGCGATTATAATCAAATTCGTCGTAGTCGCGTCTATATGGGTTGTGGGACTACGTGTGTGTGTGTGTGTGTGTGTGTAGAAAAGAAAAACGCAGCCTCCTCTGTTCGCCCCTTCATCTCTCTCTTTCTATCTAAGCTTGCCTTATCTTCAGACAGTATGACTAAAACGATCTATTTTGAATTTCCACGGATCCTTTCTTTTTCTCTCCCCCTGGCTCTCCGATCTGTGTTTGTTCATTTCCCTCGCGACGAAAGGGACACCGGGAGTTTCCGGGTTACTATGAAAAAAAAAAAACAATCAACAAAATGTAAGCTCGTGCGTTTAATTAGTAACTACGAATAACATATATATGCATTACACGTATATATACAAAGTTTTCCTTTGAAAGTTCGATCGAGAGAGAGAGATAAATGTGTTTGAGGGAAAGGATCCTGTATACGTGTTGCGTGAGATTCGTTAGCCGAGGCTGCACGTGTGTATAAAACAATAATTGTGGAGGTACGGCGTGGGGCATCATGATGTCAGTCGTCGTCGCAATGGTCATACTAACATTAGGACGTCACGAGATTGCGATTATTATTTTTAAAAGAAAAGCTAAACGATGATGAAATTATTAATTGCAAAACACGGACGACAACGGCAACAACAATTGTAAGGCATAAGACTGTAACAATGTGTATATATATACATCGTTCTGAGAACCTGAGTAAAATATTATCATTATCATTATTATTATGATTATTGTTAAAAATTGATTGGTTTTTTTTTTTTTCCTTCTTCGTTCAACTCGAGCCGATTATCATTTCCTTCCTTTGGATCCTGTATTCTCTTTAAAAAAAAAGATATATATATAACAATTTTTGCTGTCGTTGCACTTTTCACCCGAACGCCATGTTGCGTTTGTAATTTTGTCATTCGATATGTACGAGGGGGAAGAAATATCGTTTCAAATCAATATTTGCAGTGGATCGACTCGTGAGCAGTAATAAAAATGAGCGCATGTCACGCAGAACTACCGAAAAAGGCACGGAGTTTGTTTGGCAAACGTTTTACCACGTAAGTATGTGATGCGACGACTTTCGAAGGAATCCAGTGTTTGTTGATCAAAAAAAAAAGATGGCAGAGAAAACTTTTTCATTTTTTAAATAAAAAACGTGTTGTCTCGGAAAGGTACAAGCACAGAGAAAAATTCAGCAACGGAAAAAAACCGTTTGTAAATTATTTATGAGTCGTTTTTACAAATTTACACCTTACGTAATCGGACGACAGATACGCGTATTCTTTTAATTTATTGAAGCCATAATTCACAAGTGCTTGTAACGTTCGAAATGAAAACTTTCAACGTTTATCGCGGAAATAAAACGTTACTTTGTGAATGGATGAAAAAAAATAGTATAATATTTTCTTGTGCTTTACACAAGTATTTCCTTTTTTCGGACATATTTATTCGAAAGGTTAAACAATCATTGATGTATACAGTTTTTATGAGTTTTTTAAATTATTTTTCTCTTACGCGTAGCTCAAAATAATGGATATTATTCATAGCAGAAGTTTTTATCACCATGAGACTTGGAAAAAAAAAAAAAAAAAAAAAAAAAAAAAAAAAAAAAACATAAATAATGATATTTGACAAAAAGAAAAAACTTTTTTTTTTCATACAATCATTGCGATAAAAACACACAAACCAATGCAATTTTTTAAACGAAAGCTCTTAATCAAACAATTTTTTTTCCCATCTGAAGCAATTGGTTCTCATATTTTATCAAGTTTTCTCAAATATTCAATCCTAAGAAGTGTAACGCTCAATAAATCCTTTAAATCTTCAAGCAATACTAATAATTTATTGTAAAAAGCCAATGGTAAAAAATCATTGACTACCGAGATGATAATTGTAATTGAACGAGTTGCGTTTAATACACACTATGGGTGTTTTCCGCAATCGTCACCAGCAAGTAATTTAAGGTTTGCGCTCTACGTTACCATCAAGTCGGTAAGTCAACTACCTTGAATTAACTGGCGCTCTGTTCCGTAATCTGGCCAGTTAAAATAGCAGACGACGTAAAAGTCGAGAAAGAAGATTTCATCGCTGTTGACTGTTGTCTGCTATTTTATCTGGCCAGATTACGGAACAGAGCGCCAGTTAATTCAAGGTAGTTGACTTACTGACCTGACGGTAACGTAGAGCGCTACCTTTAATTACTTGCTGGTGACGATTGCGGAAAACGCCCCATGGTGTGTTGGTATCCGTTATCGCGGTCGGTACCGTACTGCCCTGATGGTACACTTACCTCTTGCTCGTAAAACAGATCATGTCAAGCGGTGCAGTATATATATATGTATATATATATACATACTGCAAATTGGCAATGTGCAATCTAAATCTAAATCAGAATTGTGTAATTTTGTGGGTGGGTTTATTTACCTATAAGTATAAAATTACTTGATGCCAGACAACCAGTGCCGTGGTAAAAGTAACGTTCACTGCATACACTGCAACTTATGAATTACAAAAGTTCGAGCAAATGTTTATCATCGTGCCGATTTTGATGAAATTTCGGAGTTCGATACAAGATTCGCTTTGCCGCAGCGTACCTATATATTTATTGATGTTTGCGGTCATCACGAGATTTACGAGTGCCGGACTGACGGAGTGACAGTGACAGCTCTTTATTTTAAGTGACATACCTACAGGTATAATACTTACACTTTTTGTGTGTAGCAGGTACCTATACTGAGATGGATAAAAAGAGCGATAGTATGAATTGTCGACGATAATAATGATGAGAGTTTTAAGTCCACAGACAATCTTGTGGATGGATCTCCGTTAAATTTTCGTTCAATTTTTATACAATCGTACAATGGTAGTGTTGGCTTGATTGAGGTTATCTTTGTTTATTATTATCAATTAAATCTTCAGCAGCCTTTTCATTTGAAATAATATTTCAACAATAATCAATTGCACGCTTTTAGATGCTGTACCACACGGTATTCTAATTACAGAGTTTTTATTTGTGTGTTTGGGTAACTGGCTTATGGAAGATGAAAAATAAAAAGAATGATAAAATAAACAAGGTATGAGCTGCTCTGTAGAATTACGTCAGCAAAGGCAACAAGAGATGGAGGAGGATCCCCACAAACTTGTAGTGAACAAGTCGCAAAGGCTGTTTTTAGGTCTTTTGGTTCTCTTTTTAGTGGATATTATATGGGTATCTAGCTCCGAACTCACCAAGGTACAAAGTGCCAAGATCTATGTATTTTGAAAAATTACTTGTTTCCGCAATTACTGACAATTGCCTTTGTTTTTCCTAGTATATTTATCAAGAAGCAGCATTTGATAAGCCTTTTTTCACCACGTACATTAAAACTTCAATGTTTACATTGTACTTATTAGGCCTCTGCTTTTGGCCACCATGGAAAGATCAGTGTAACAAGCCAACAACGTATATGGTAATTACTTTTGTGCTTTGACTGGTATTCAAGTTTAATTGTCCATCGTTCTGTATTACAGTTCATAGATCCAAATGTTGAGGATGACAACTTTTATTCGGAAGGTAGTACGAGCTTGAGTGATCCAACATTTGTACCAGTAAAATCTGACAGATCTTCTGGTACGGAAAGCGACGATTCATCTGTGCGCTCAGTACGTTTCAGTAAATTTGCAGAAGTTAGACATATGTCGGAAAACGATGCAACTGAAGCTCTTTTGGCTAGATTGAGTTACCAAGCGAGCGTGAGAGCAGGTGAGCGTGCTAAAAGGCAAGCTAACAAATTTTCTATTCAAAAGGTTGTCAAAATCGCCCTGATGTTCTGCTTTTTGGTAAGCACACATATTCCCAAAAGATTTTTATTTATTCGTCTTAAGCTGAGGTAGTAAGTAATATGTCATATTTCCAGTGGTTCATTGGTACTTATACTTATCAGATGTCTTTGTCACAAACAGAAGCTGGAATCGTTACAGTACTATCTTCTACATCTAGTGTATTTACGCTTTTTCTTGCCGCATTTTTTCCTAGTAATAATGGAGATAAATTCTCTCTTACTAAGCTAGTTGCAGTAACAATAAGTATTCTAGGCCTTGTTCTTGTCGGTATTTCGGATTTGGCTGTGGAAGCGAGTCGTGTGCCTAGTGGTATAATATTAGCTCTAGTCAGTGCATTTTTTTATGCTGTTTATATTGTTTTTTTGAGGAAAAAAATTGACCATGAAGATAAAATGGACATACCAATGTTTTTTGGGTTCGTTGGTCTATTTAATTTATTGCTTTTTTGGCCTTTATTTTTTATTTTACATTATGGACAATGGGAAGAGTTTCAATGGCCTACGCCACATCAATGGGCATTTTTGGTTATTAATGGACTTGTTGGAACAGTATTTAGCAAAGTCTTATGGCTTTGGTAACTAACATATTTATTGTTTTCACTTTTAACAATTTTCTTTGTACTACAACTTTTTATGTTTTCCAGGGGATGTTTTTTAACTTCGTCTCTCATAGCATCATTGGCAATTAGCCTGACGGTGCCAATATCTATGATAATTGATGTAGTATTGAAAAAAGTAGAATATCCTTGTATTTTCTACTTGGGAAGCATTCCAATGATCTTAGGATCTTTTCTAACAGTATCGCTTTTGTCGCATTTCGATAATTGGGATCCAGTTTTAGACTTGTTTTGTCGCAAAAGTAGATCATTAAGGTATTATATTTTTAATTCAATAAAATATGATGCCGCTGAAAAGTTATACTGATAATATTTCATTTAATTTCAGAATACCAGATTTGGAAGCTGAACAAACAGAATCCTTAATTGGTATAAATAGTGAGCATGAAGCGTAGCAGTGAAAAATGACACAGAATTTTAGCTTTTATATGATGAATTATTAACTAGGAGCTGGAATGTGAAAAGTTAGTATTATGAAACCGCTTTGTTTTATGCAGAATGAAGTGCCGTTAGAATGGTAAAAGTATTAAATTTTAAATGATTACATAATTTTATTCCAGTTAATAATAATTCTGTAAAATCATTTCGTTGGTAATGTTTTTTTTAACTTTGATACAAATAATAAATAATCTTGTGATAATATGTTGACAGACTGTTAAATTTTCAATTTAAGTATAGCAGCTTAGTTTTGTTGTATATTTATATTCTCTATTAATATAAAATATTATGCAAACAATTACTTTGCGGAAATAAAATATAGCGGTGGATTCTGTGAATGGCTTAATTATAGGCACAGAATATCGATCACAATATTTTGTATAACTAATTTTTATGGATACATTAAATGGAAGATGTTTTTTCACTTGAAAGTTTAAATCACTTGTTTATAAAATATCTGCAGCACTGGGAATGTATTTTTTTTTTTTTTTTTTTTTTTTTCATTACTAGATTTTACGATTTTCTAAATTTAGTACCCATGTACCTACGTTTTGTTTCAAACAAAATTCTATTTTATATTCATGTTGTTCCACATTTTATGCCGATATACATATATATTTTTTTCTTTCCTGTTACTAATTGATAAAAATTATCGTTTTCGTTGACATTTTCGAAAATCGCTTGTTTCGTTAATTTTGACTAGATTGTAACTTTTTAGTCACGTATTTTTGTAAAAAAAAATTTTATTACACATAACAGCTCTCATTCTTATTCGAGTACTTTAATTTATGATGTACTTTATTCAATAAAAATATTTTTATACCAAAGCATTTATTATAATAATAAATACTTTATGACATCTCTGTTTAAATTATTCCTAAATTCTAGTTATCAATCGGTCACGTGTATTATAGAAGTACAGGTTTAAGATTAATACAAACTTTGCATTTTTAATAATTCCGAAACTCATGGCACACTGGACCAATAAAAACGTTTGAAAAAATGTGAAAAATACGAGGAGTAGCTGAAAGTATTTGGTTAGTGCTATTCTAGTCAGGAAAAGGATAAAAATGTTAAAATTCTTATGTATATCTCGTAAGAGAAAGAAAATGGTTGTTTTCATCACAAAAGTTCCATCGCCTCAGAGGCTATTTTGCGGCCCGAGGCACCGCAAGTTAGCCTCGGATGGATGGCACTTGTGAGCCGAACACTGTTTTTCTTACGGAGGGCACACTCGACCCTTATAAATATATTTCACACAAATACGAAAAAAAAAAAAAAAAAAAAAAAAAATCTCTCCTTTATTCCTTCCAATTTAAATAATCGAGGATGAATCAATAGCAACGGTGCCACGAAGACCGGGAACTTTTCTCTTACAGCAGTGCCACATTTGTGTTATACAGTTTGGGTATACAGTTTATTCTCGGATGGTTTCTCCCGAGAAACTTTTCCAAGGCGTCGTCAGCCGTGCTCTTTGAGGAAAAAATAAAAAATACAGGCCACGCGCGGAACTTTTAAAAATACGTACAACGCGAGCAAACGGAAAGGCAGGAAGAGGAGGAAAAATAGCGAGGCGTCACACCTGTGAGAGGCGTGAACGGCGCGGAGAGAGAGTGCATATAGGGGCGAAAGTACATATATATACGAGTGTNAAAAAAAAACCAATCGTACAATTTTATCGTTTCTCATTCACCCTTGTATTTAAGTTTTTACAGTTGATTGGCGATAAATACGATTCCAATGAAGGTTAATCATAAGTTGTATATACCGATTGAATTGACAGATGAATCCGTTGGGAAATGTAAAATAGCTAATCAACATTTTTTTCATTTTTGTATGTAAGAAAAGAAAAGAAAAAAAAACCAACACTAAAAAATAAATATCCTCGCATAAGCAACTTGATAAGCATTTCCAGACAAAGTGTAGAAAGCGAAAAAGAGTCCATAAAGATCGAAGATGTCAAAAATTTGTCATCACTTGAAAACTAAATTAAAGGGTTAGCGGTTGTCAGTCACGGAGCCCATATATGGCTCATCACGATAAAAGGTTTGAATCGAAAGGTAATAATGAAGGATATTATCAATAATCTGTGAAAAACATATCAAGTATCTTTGTATGTGTGCATAATGATAATTTAGCGAGAAATGTAGGCCCGCGCTCGATGGCATTTAACCCTGTCAGCTCCTTACGGTAACTCTTCCATAGCAGATGAAACATATATACGTTTTTTGCTCGAACAGCGTTCAATTAAAAAAATTCGTCTTGCGAAATTATTACACTTTTCAAGTATTCCGGACGACACTTCCTGGCCGAAGGTGCCCCAGAGAAGATTACGCGACGACATCGTGAGTAGCGCCAAAGATCCGTGCGTCGTGTCTTTCGCTCGGAAGCCCCAGACGAATCAAACAATCACGCAGTGAGTCTCCCTCTTCAATTGAGCGTCTTGATTCAGTATTATTATATAGTTTGGGTGAAATTTTTTTTTTTTTTTTTCCAATTTCAGACCCTTAAAGTACACACCAATTAACAATCTGCAATGCAACAATGCAGAAAACACTCAAGCGATTAATAAGTTTAAGACGTAAGTGATGCATATCATTGTCCACGCTTCGATTACGTTTATTGTCATTCCTCGTTTGTAACGATTTCTACACGTTGTCGCAGCACCGTGACTAGTCAGTTGACACCCACAGATGCGCCAACACGTGAACAGCAAACGGAAAAAGAAGCATCGTCTGCAACGTGAGTTGTTTTGCGACCACAATGCGCATACTTGGGTGCACTTTTTGTACGAAAAGTGACTTTTCAGAGATAAAACCGAGCCCGTGAGAGATACCAACGAGACAAGGGAACCTGGTGCACTCGAGCCTTGCCACAGCGTTGAAACGAACAACAACGCCGAGCCTTCGACGTTGTTCCAACAAGATTCAGCCACCAAGTCACACGTACGTTTACACGTATAAACAAAGAGTACAGATAATGAGCTTAAGGCATAATATTATGTGATAATATAATGTAACCAAACACCCGTGCTGATACGGCCAAGCCATAGACAAAACATACACGACGTAAGTATCTTGTACAGGGGGCGAAGAAATATCAACTGCTGAGCGCTGGGGAAGGAAACGCGAGACCCAGTGGTACAAACAACAACGTCACCGCCGTACCGAAGAATAATCGAGATAACAGGGAAGAAGGCATTTACAATGGCCCAAGTAAACGATCGAATGGAGAAAAAATTGATTGTAGATGATGCCATATACGAACTGTGTGCCCAAATGTGTAGGCTGCTGGCCACCCGTGCCGCGAGTAAATAAGAGCACATCGCGGCCAGCCGCGTCGAGTGTCTGCAGCAACGGCAGCGGTGCAGGCAGCGACTCCGAAACAGAATCGCCCCAAGGTAGGCTCATCGTCAGGCAACAACAGCTACTGCCTGCAACATTGAAACCCAGAAGACGCAGCGTGCACCGCCAGCAGGCGTCGAGTTCGGAGAACGGCACTCCCGACAAGTGCTGCCGCAGGTCGCTCCGACCTCCGCAGCAGCAGTGTAAGCGAGAACGTGACGCATTAAATATGGCCATATATTGGCAGTAATGTATGCATAATCTTAACGTGCACGTGTTTTGTACCAGGCAATCATTGCGAGAAGCTGCAGTCCTCAGCGGACGCGAGGAAGTTCGTGCACCGGCACTCGGAGCCTCTGCTCGGAACTTGGAGCGGCAAGTGCTCGCGCTGCCACTGCGCCAGTAAGGACGGCTTTCAGAGGGTGGCATCGGACTCGGGTATCCTCGTCAGCGAGGCGTGCGACAGTACCTTTTCCCCGGAGCCGGCGCTCGCTACGCGGAACACCCTGAGCTTCGATCCCCGGCTCGAGGATCTCGCTCCCTTTGTTTCCCTCTACTCGAGGAACAACGAGGACGCGATGTCGAGCCCGTAAGCTATGCACGTTATCGTCCAAAAGAACGTGTTTGCCATTTCTTTTTTCCTTCCTCTTTGTGGTGGATACGAATACGTTACCTATACCGTATACGTCGTTGGCGAGAGATCGTTCATTCGATAACGGGGTAATTGCGCGAGTTCTCTTTTTCTCTCTATTTATAGCGGCTCTCCAGCCAAAGGCAACAGCTCGAGCGCGAGAAAAAGTGGAGCTAAGTTGGCGATGGTTAACGACAGTTTTGTCGAAAAATCAACGGAATCCTCGGCTTTGTCCGAATCTCGCAGCAACAATTCCCCCAAAGGGACGAAGCAAGCGAATTCCCGGGCTTTGGTTTTGAAGACAGCCGGTAGATCTACGCACTGCTCCGAGTAATATGTTTATGGTCGTGTTCATGTATGCCCCTATTACTTATTTTTAGTGTTTTTCGTTTTCGCGCTTTACGCCCTGGTTATTTCGTTGCCGAAAATTTACGACTACTTCTTTCACGAAGAAGAATACGACAGCTACCAAGATCTGTCCTACGCCGAGTTTGTAATCCAATACGTCGTTTCGTCATTTCAAGAGGCGTTCGGTGACTTTTTCAACTTTGTTGGCAAAGTGTTTTTTCAATCGGTGAGATGAAAAAAAAAAAAAAAAAAAAACTTTTATTCAAATACTAAACCGAGAAAGAATGATTCCATACAATACTTGAAGCCTCACCTGAGCGAAGTTAACAAAAAACAACTNCATTAAAAAAAAAAAAAAAAAGAATCTTTTATTCAAGGAGGCGTACCGAACAATCTCCTTTTTTTTACGATAAAACACATCGCATGTTGTTATACTTACCATATCAATGTTTTCAATTAGTAAATTTCTTCTTTTTTTTTTGTTTTGTTTTCGTTTACAGCGTTCCTGCAAAAAGTGTAACAGTATCATTTAGCTTAATTGAATCGCCGATCAGTCGTCTTTGTGAAAAATCAAGCGAATCGAATAAAACCTCAAAAGTACAAACTCGAGTTTTGTTATTATATTCATTTCTTGCTGGAACGGCACAAAAACAGCGCATATTGCAAAATACTGCACTTTACGTAAGTGTCATCTGCATCGATGTATGGTATGCTTTTTCTCTGCGGGGAGCCGTTCGTCATTATATGATTATCGTGTGGAAAAAAAAAAAATATACAATAGTTGCAACTTTTGCGATATGGTGTAATTTACTATACTATTCGCAATTAAGATAACAACATTACGTGCTTATACTTGGCGTGTGCGTTTGAAGATTCTATTGAAGAGAGGGGGAAAAAAAAAATCAAAAGACGCAGACGATTGTTGTGTTTTCAAGAATAATTTCACAACGTAACGCGAGAGGAGTGACCATGAGCGTAAGATTATGTATCACACTTGCGTTATGCGAACCTCGACTTTCGAAACTATTCTTTTACCTCCTTCTCTTATTCGGTACAAAATGTCGGTGTTGCTACGAAGATACTTACTCCTTTTTTTTCCGCAGTTATACAACATTTTCAGCTAAATATGGTTGAAAATCGTATGGTATTCAATATGTATTGCCCTCCGATCGTACAAATTCAATTTGACCCGACAAAAGTTAAATATTCAATTATATTCTTCGCGTTGATAATTTACGATAGTGCGTTGAAAATAATCAAGAGTTGCAGCATGAATTCAATATTCTTCGGTTGAGCTGCGGGGGGCCAGGATAAACTAAACTTTGCTTGTTATTCGCGTCATCTTATCAAACGAATTTTTAATTAATTCGAGTTTATCATTCACTTTCAAAGTTGGGAGCGCATCTTATTGAAAAATTTATTAATAAGTGTGAAGCTGTGCATCATTTCTTCCTTTGACAAACATCATTTCAAGCACGTTCACAAAATAATCGCATGACGGGGATTATTTTCAAAATGAGCCATACACGAGGATGAGTATTTTGTTATTTTGAACATCTGCTCACCCTTTACTGCACAATAATTTTGATGTTTATAATTAATTTATAATCAGCTACAATATACATGTTAGTTACAATATATCATACTTAAAAAAAAATATAACCTTGAATCTTGCCTGTTACATGTAATACGTTTTTATGTATGCATACCAGAATACGAATGAAGCGTTTAAAACATGAAAAGTAGTTATTTGTCAAATTTAAATATCAGTTGAGATTAGATATCACACATATTACTAGCAATAAAATCAATGAGTAATTTGTTAACAGGTTGCACTAAAATACATCGATTACTGCTAAAAATGAAATTAAAAAAGTCCCGAATTCAATAGTCGACAATTTATTATTGAAATAAACAAAGAGCGCAGGCGCAACAGACGATTCTTCTTCTTTTTGTTTATGTGTAAAAATGTATATTTATATTTTCCGCGAAAACGGGGAGGCTGCTGAGAGGGTCTCTCTCTCTGCGCGGGTTGGTAACTTGGGTAAAAGTTAGAGCGCGTACTAGTCTCTCGGTCATTTTGCCTCGCGTGCTCTGACAGAGTAGTTGCAGTCTTTGTCGACCGCTAAGCCAAGCCACGTGTTGCCGTCGCCGCTCTTGAGAGATTGCTTCGATTTGCACGGAATTTAGGTAGTACTAACAGGTGACGACGAGGAGTCATTATTTTATTTTTCTTTTACCTATTTATTATATATATACTATAGGTAAGTATACTCCTCTTCTCGTGGTTACGCGTCAATTCAATCAAGTATTAATTTGCTTACCGGTCTGCGGCTCGTCTTCTATTTGTTTTGCTTTCGCACCGGTTACTTAGTTCTACAATCTCTGCTTATCATTGTTTTATTCATCTAATTGTGAAATTGTGCGTGATTTTTTTTTTCAGGTAATTGATAGGGTATCGATTGGAGTGTGTTAATGTGTACTTGTGAATCACGTGTATTAACAGAGTTACGCACATATACACGCACCGTACGCGGGTTCACGTGAACATAAAAGCATCACGTCTATACCCAGATTGTGCACCCAAAACGTGTAAATAAATAAGCAAATAAATACAACTGAGAGATGGCAGCAAGGCAAAATTCCATATCGAGCGACGAACTCGAGCTGGAAGAGGACGGCTTGACTGGTGCTCAACTGTTTGCTCCTGGTGATGGACTCACCTACAACGACTTCATCATCCTACCGGGCTACATTGAATTTACCGCCGAGGAGGTTGATCTCCACTCGCCTCTCACCAAGAAAATCACCCTCAAAGTGCCCCTTGTTTCCTCGCCCATGGACACCGTCACCGAGTCCGACATGGCTACTGCTATGGCACTCTGCGGTGGGATTGGCATCATCCATCACAACTGCACGCCCGAGTACCAAGCTGGCGAAGTTTTGAAGGTAAACCAGATGTTTCGTATATTGATCGCTTCATTGATTTGTGCATTGAAAAATGCAAAACAACTAGATTGATAATTCTGAAAGCGCGTCGCGAGTGTGTTTGTTATTTATTCAATTAAATCCATCTACGTGTTTAAATGACAAACCTACATTCGCGATTCGTTATAATTTGTATCATATTAAAAGTATTGAGTACGTCAAATAAAATAGACCTAACTGAATGAAGGCTTATAATATCTTGCCTGTCTGGATGTAATACTGTTAGGAAAATAAGCTCCGTTATGCCTCGACACATAAAGTGATTCAAATATCAATGAATTGATTTCAAGTTTAAATAAATTACGTATTTTATGTAACGTGCGCCAAAAGAATTTTTTTTTTTTTTTTTCAAATAATTGAAATGTAATTTTAACGATGCGCATCTTTCAGGTCAAAAAATACAAACACGGATTCATTCGTGACCCTATAGTTTTGACTCCCAATCACACGGTTAAGGATGTATTAAATGTTAAAGCTGAGCACGGATTTTGTGGTGTTCCCATCACTCAAAATGGCAAACTTGGCGGTAAACTACTAGGAATCGTTACATCGAGGGACATAGACTTTCTGGAAGATACAAAACAACAAGAAGCCAAGCTAGAGTCCATCATGACGAAATTGGAAAATTTGATTGTTGCATCAGCTGGTGTTACTTTGTCAGAGGCCAACACTATTTTAGAAAAATCTAAAAGAGGAAAGTTACCCATTGTCAATGACAAAGGAGAATTGGTTGCATTGATGGCGAGAACAGATTTGAAAAAAAATCGTAGTTATCCAAATGCTAGCAAAGATGAAAATAAGCAGCTTCTTGTTGGTGCTGCCATTGGAACTCGTCCATCCGATAAGGAACGGTTGCATCAGCTGGCTCAAGCTGGTGTAGATGTTGTTGTCCTTGATTCGTCTCAAGGCAACTCCAAGTATCAGATTGATATGATCAAATACATCAAAGCAAATTATCCAGGGCTTGAAGTAATAGCTGGCAACGTAGTAACTGTCAAACAAGCTAAAAATCTCATTGATGCTGGAGCTGATGGTTTGAGAGTAGGAATGGGTTCAGGATCTATTTGTATTACACAAGAAGTAATGGCAGTGGGCAGACCACAGGCAACGGCTGTCTACAAAGTTTCGCGGTATGCTCGAAAGTTTGGAGTTCCAATAATTGCCGATGGAGGTATTCAGTCAATCGGTCACATCACCAAAGCCCTTAGCATAGGAGCAAGCACCGTTATGATGGGTTCCTTATTGGCAGGAACTTCTGAAGCTCCTGGAGAGTATTTTTTCAGTGATGGCGTAAGACTTAAGAAATATAGAGGCATGGGTTCGATCGAAGCAATGGATAAGAAAGATGCAAATGGATCGGCAATGGATAGATATTTTCACAACGAGCTGGACAAGCTTAAAGTTGCTCAAGGCGTGAGTGGTTCGATCGTTGACAAAGGAACTGTTTTAAAGTTCATCCCATATTTGCAATGTGGTATTAAACATGGTTGCCAAGACATTGGAGCAAAATCAATTACACTGCTCAAGCAAATGATGTATAATGGTGAGTTGAAATTTGAAAAGAGGACTCATTCTGCTCAACAAGAAGGTAACGTTCATGGTTTGTTTTCCTATGAAAAAAGGCTTTTCTAAATGCTTGCTATTATTATGTGACAATTAACCAATTGATTGATTCCTGTGACGAATCGGTACCTGTTTTGTATAAAATGCTAGTGGTCTAAACAAACGTTAGAAATCAGTGATATGCAATGTTACACATAATTTATGGTAATTAACGTTTCAAATATGGTTTATGGCATGCATAAACTGAAAATGTTTATTTAATATTTAGCAATACGCGTCGTACCTGGGTACATACGTTTTTCTTACCTGGAAGAAATAAACGCGTGTGAAATAACTAAGTGACTCCTTTTTCTAAAAGGTTTTTATCATTGTGTATCAATCAGACGAATTCAAGTTACTTGAGACTTGGAAACTTTAGATTGTATGTAATTTTTGTTCTGTCCTATGAAAATGTATACGTTAATAATTGTGAATTTTAATGAGATCTACAAATTTATTGAATGTATATACACAATTTATTTTTAAAATCTGTACAAAATCTTATTGTACTTACTCTTTTGAGTAAAATGTTATGTGCAAACCGTGGGAACAGTATGAATTTTCAAATATTTTGTACCTCTAGATTTTTTCAAACAATGACAAATTTTTATTACTATGCATTCATGTTCATGCAAAGTGTCATCTCAACAATGTTTATATTCCAAATTTTTCTGATATATTAAAACGTATTTGTCGTTTGTGTCATGTACCACTTAATTTTATGTGATTATATATAATACTTGGTTTATATAGAAAATTAAAAATGTTTAAGTGTCAAATTATATCTATACATAAAATAAAGTAAATAACTTTACTTTGTTCTAATTTTATCCAATGTACATTTTTTTTTATAGTATGTTTACATTAAATAAAAATGGCATGGTATTAGAAAAGACTACTGAAATTTAATTGCAATAAAAATTAACAGAGTTCTTTAACATTAATTTTTTTTTGGTACGACTGCTCAAGAGCACATTTTTTTATTTACCACAATGGATACCTTATGTGGAAAAAAAAAGGTAAGAAAAAAGAAAAAACTGGAAAAAATGAAAAAATGTAGAAAATGGAAATGTGTAAAATTTTGTTTGAAACGAGAATTGGTTTCAATCGATTCATTAAATAACGTTTCTGTAATAAAACAAAGTTTAACGTGTAAATTGGAAAAAAAACTTTCATATTGCGATTACACTTTTTGCTTTAGTGATAAATGTATCAGTCGTACCTAGTGACACTTGATGTGCAAAGTTCAACGTCTTAAAACTGATTAGCCTTCATAAAGTGTTTGATTTTTTCACCACGTATGGATTCGCATATACTACGAAGGTTTCCGAATCGGATATTAAGTGCTCCGTGCACTGCATATATCAAACCTTAATGAATTACACCGTCGATTCGGACAAATCACATATCTTAATATAAAACTTTGCAACTCACATTTGTAATTCCATTGTTGAATGGCACCCATACTTCCGACGGACTTGGAGCGTTCATAATTCATATTGAGCCGTTTAAAGAACTCAATTATGTTGATATTCATTTGACTGCTAGCACATAGTTTGTAAAAAGTTGTGTTATTTTGATAGAGAATACTGCTTTGGGGGTACAAATCTTTCATCCATCTTTTGGAGCACCTAGATAACGGAGTTGATCATGTCGCTCTACTACAGGTTTTTTTTCTTCCGATCTTACAGGACTTTGCACATTTTGTGTTATTATTGACAACGATAAAATTAAGAGTTTCGAAGCTTAAATTTTGTTATATATTTGCATTTAAATCTTTTGGAAATTAGTTTTCGTGATAAAATATTTTTATCTCTTAATTACGCATCACAATTTTTACTTATAAATAAGAATGTCTTAAGCTAGGAGGGTTCAGCATCACTATGCATAGCGTATTTCCACGTCCATTCGCGAGCAACTTTTTCAAACCTAGCTCTGTCATTCATATACATATCTCCCAACTCTGGCTCCATGCAAACCTAGAAATAAATGTGTATTAGTACAAAAGTTTAACAAATCAGTTGTCTTTTTGATTGATATCTTACTTGACAATATGGATCCGTAAGTAAGCTTTGAACACTGATTAGAACTTTAGATATTGTCAAGGCTAATGACCAATTATGATGAATAGAATCGATGCCTACATCTCCATGCCTTGACACATTAGGATGAAGTATTTTAGTTAAAAATCTTACGACAGGTGGCCTCATTGGATAACTGAAACAAGGAATTAATTTAATAAACTTTTTCATTGAAACAAGTAAATCTGAAGTAGTCTTCTACCTCTGAGGTACTTGGAGATAAAGATAAAATAACCCTCCTTCGTACGGGCTGCCAGAAGGTCCGGTGATTGTGGCTTGCCAGTGACAGCACATTTGATCGAGAGGCGCTGCTTCAATCCCATCTGGAGGATCACTTCTTAAACCCTTGAGTTCAATGCGTAATCTATGTCTCCTCCAAGAATTTTCCTCTACTCTGAGAGACCGTGTGCGATACAAAGACGTTTGTGACAAGCAAGTCTTGCACGGAGCAGAAGATGCAAGTCTGTCGTATACTTTATACCAATTATTTACAGTACCATTTATTTTTTTAAACAAGGGCCACCTTAACTTTACATGCTTTTCCCACATTTCGGATGTGACGTGGCTAGATAATAAATTGCACCATCTTCTACATACGTTTGCTACACTCCAAAGGCTCAAATCATCCAAATGAGAAAATACTGCCAAGAGAACTTCTGGTGGTAGCCTATTGACTATTTCCGGTTCCCCAGCGGATACGTGCTCAACGTGTCTGTAGTTTGTCAATAAATCGAGTCTTTTTGATAAATTCCAAGGTCTCGACGGTTCTCCTTTATCAGCGTACCTTTCACCATTTTTCACTGGCTGAAATAGTACCGGGAATTCCTGCTCAGGTTCAGACTCTTCAGCTGGCACCGAATCTTCTTCAGGACTCTGAAAATCTTCCTCAAGAACATCATGCTGAGGATTATTTTCCACATCCTGTCGTATTTGAAGATTATTAAAATCCAAGTGCAACTCGTTGTGATTGTGATTAGGATTCTGCTGGGGATTGTCAATGTTGAGTTCTTCCTGATGAACCACATCTCCGTTATTTATTGGTATATTATTCTGTTCTGCTGGCTGATGATTGTACATAGGTTGAAAAAATGGTGGTTGATTTTGATCATTTTCATCATTGTCGGACGGGCTGGACACAAGGGGAGTTGAATCTTGTGACGAATTGTTATCAGTTTGACTGGCTCTCCTCTCGGTGTTGTAATACATGTCGACAGGCTCATCGTTCCCAGAGTCCTCATCATCTGTCTTCTAAAAGAGATCATCACATATGAAAACTATATCGAAAGACCAAAAGTCGAGTATTCAATAATAAAGCCAAAAATTTACTTCGCTGCATATTTGAGCCTGAAGAAGTCCAGTGTCGTCGGGGAACAAAAAATCGTGGCACACGTGACAAACGGGTTCTCCAAAGCACGGCCCATAGAACCCGTTGCAAATGTAGCACGCATTTGTCTGTAAACAAAGATCGCGTTTACTCACTGTCAACAGTAGCAGCGCAAGGTCAACGAGGAAACCATCGCAAATATAATAAATGGTTAAAAAAGCGTTTGCTAGAGAGAAAAAATTTAGCAAAAGCGTGTCAGGGTGTATGTATCAACTCGTAAGAGCGCCCGTACGTAAACATTTCAGCACGACGTATGCGATAACTCACCGAGAACTCAAATTCCGCAGAGGTAGCCTCCTCCTCCTTTGCTTCCTCTTCCTTCAAATCCGAGTTCTCGCCATTTCCTACCTCGACGTAGGCACAGCAAATTTTATCTCCAGCCATGTTGACAGAAAGCTGCTGCTGTTGTTGCTCCATCCACAGATCAAATAATACGCGTGTGTATACGTAATATTATAAATATATATCAATCTGAACCGAGTGCTAACTCGTGTTTTTTATTTTGACTTGCACCTTGCACCTGTCAACGACTCAAAGTCAACATTACTTAAATTCTTTACCGACAATGAAAAAAAAACAACAACAACAACAACAACAGGTTGATGAAATGGTGAATGACGACAGGGTGAGACGAGGGTGAAGGGCACGATTAGATAAAAATTCTCACTCTCTCTCTCTCAAATAAATGTGCTCTCTGTTCTGTTCGCCTCTTTGGAGAGACGATCAACATCTGTTTTTTTTTGTGCAAAATAGGTGTGTTCAACTTATACGATCGGTTGCGTTTCGAATCAATCAGAAATGACTCACCTCACCATAATTACCGTCGGTCAAATAATCATGTGAGCTCAAGTGAACTAAAACTAAAACTACGTAGCATTATTAGGTGGTTGCCACGTGTAAAAACCTTAATTAAATTTTGTTATCACGCTATTTTTGGTTTAAATCATTGAAAGGTCCAACGTGTACACTGGAGGTGTACATACAATATTACATCTGAAAATTCAGGAGATTTTTGGTTGCAAAATATTCTAATTTTATTGGAGTGAAATAATTTAATAGTTTATCAGTGATCACACACTGATTGTTATAATTGTTATTGTGTTTTGTGTTTTTCCTATTGGCCAGGTGCATGTCATGCAGCGCCACTCTTGGTGTCAAAATCATGCAACCGCGGGTACGGCGGGTACCCACATTGTACGTCAACAGCATACACCGATGCACACTTTGAGTAATAATTAATTAATTAGGAAAAAATTAGTATATTTATTCATCTGATAATGGATATAATCATAAAAACAGGCTTTAGGAATATCACACGCTCGATTTGTTTTAACTCTGAAGCTTTAAAAAGAGGTAAACAGTTGGTTAAAAGTAGTCATGTGTGCGATGTTACAGAATTTCAAAGTGATGGAGTTAGCAATTTGTCAAGTGCCGTCGTAATAAAAGGCAGACCTCGGTAACTTCAGCTCCGTACAAAGTTAACCTGCATGTACATTTCATTCAGATTATTTTGAAAATTGTCTAAGTTGCAATGCACATGAAAATTACCTTTATTTACAGTTAGATAATCACCGAAATTTATGTAATTTTACTCCATCTGTCTTTGCGCTTCTGTTACACTGAACAACACAGTACTTTCTTATGCCCATATTTCATAAATGTTTTAATAATATAAATCACACGTTTTAACAATAGAAATCACAATGATCGTGTCTTATTTCACGTAACTATGTTTTCCGGTAACTATGTTTTCCGCCTTCGCCGCTTGATTTTGGATTCTCAGGCGGAAAAATAGTATACCTAGCTGTCTGCTTCTGAGTGTGTGCTCTGAATCGAAAACTAACGAGACTTTATTTAATGTATTGTTACATTCAAATATTTTACAACCGTTCTTGGCACTACATACTTCATTTTTTTACATTTGTGCAACTGCAATTTCATAATGTTGATACTATTTATGCATGAGTACGTGATGATAACATCTGTAAATTTGACGAAATGCTGTTATTCTTTTCTTCATTAAGCAAAAATGACAGTAATTTGGAACCCCTACAGGTTTTCTATTTTCGCCACTACACACGCTGGTGTTGACTCATCTATCCCCTCCCATCACTTACACCTGGCCAATAAGGAATACCGAATTAATCGAATATCACTCTATCCAATTGCAAAGATCGCTACTTTGCCGGTTGAGCCATTTTTTCTTTGTAATATTTGGGATTTACAAAAATTTTTTTTATTTGAGCAGAGAAACAATTGACGTATGTACAACAATATTGTGAGAAAAATGGTGAAAATGGATTTTTATTACTTTTAATTTTGAACATTTTTAGAGAACATTTACACATTCTTTTGGAGAAAATTATTATAATAGACTATAATTTAAAGAATTCTTTTCTCAACTAAATTTTAGAAGATTCCGGCACTAAGTTTACACTTAATGGTGTTTTTTTATTTTTTTTTATTTTATTTGTCATCGAGACTAAAATGAAAATTTTTTTCCTTCAAATCTGGTAGCAATTTCATCGTCTATTTTTTTATACTTTTACGAAAAACGTAAGGCCAGTGAAATATATTTTTCAAATAGAAAACTTAGGATGATATTATGTATTTACATTTTCTTTTTGTCTCAATTCAGCATGCATCTACGACATGAAAAATAAATTCATGACTAAGGTTTTGAATAATTCTCAATTAATATTTTAACTTTTTTCATCTAATGAAAAAAAATAAAAATTTTTAAATCAACTTTTTTTGATAATAAATTATATTTTTAAGTGATTCATATATTGTATTGGGTCGCTTTTACAACTTTTTTTTTCTTGATTTACATTTACATAAATAAATAATTACTTAAAAGATATTTGAAAAATATATTTTGAATAATTGACGATTCATAATACTTTACCACTTGTTGGAAAAAAAATTTTATATTTATATAGTGTCGACAGTTTTCTTTTTTTTACATTATACAAACATATTTAATATTAAAAACAATCACAGACGCATGTGAATTGTAACATGTTGTCGCCCAAGTCATAATTTCTTTTAATTTATTTGTTTTGTTTTTCGTAGAACGATAAGGCCAATAGTATTACGAAAGTATAAGTTCGATGTACAAAGGACTGACAAGTCAAGCATTTTTATTTGAAAAATACTTACCTTTTAAACTCCCTTATCTGGTTTTGTTTTTCAAATCTATCGTTAAAAAATATCATCATTTTCTTATGAACAGAATGAAAAAATAGCGTGAAATAAGAAAAAAAAAAAAAAAAGATTATTGCAATTGATTGTACAGAAAATGGTATTGATTCACACTTAAACTGAAAACTACAAGCTCTCCTGTCGATTCTAAATTTTGTTCAATCTTGTAAATCAGATTGCAACACTTCTTATTTCCGTTATCTACCTCATTAATATTTTATAATTAATATTTTTACAAGTTACAATACGCAAAAGTACGTTTTCCATCGATCGTTTGCTCTCCTAATCCTCTGATAAAACGAGATGCATACTCGGACAACTAATTGCCAACTATACACATGTATTTTTTTTCTGATTATTCCATGTATATACACGCATATGTATGTTACGCATACCCACGTGTAAAAATGGACTCTACTGATCGCTTACAATTCGTCTAGGAGTTCCAAAGAATGCATGTGTGTATGTGATTTCACGATACTGCTGAGAACCGATGAAAAAATTTTATTTTTCGTTTTAATGGCGCGCAGAGAGACACATGTAAACACACAAAATTTTCCCGTTCATTTAGTAATTATTTCAAAACAGTTCGCAACAACGAGTTGTTCAATTCTTTGACTGAAATTGCACGATCATCAAAAGATTCGTGATAGTTTTTTCGAGCATGTCCAGCCACGAGAAGCTGTTCATCGCGCAGCCACCAGGCATAATGTTCCAATTACTGGTCGTGCTGAGACTCGAGCTCGACTTTGAGTCTGCTTGATCTGTCTTCTCCACGTCACCAGACTTGACGGCCGGCGCATCTTCTTCTTGCTGATCTTTCTCCTTGTCTTTGGCAACACTTGATGCCTCAGGCGACGACGATGACGGTGACGGGGACGAAGATGACGTCGTTGTCATCGTCGTCGTTATAGTCGTCTTCGCAGTCGCCGTCGTCGTCGTCGTTGTTACGGTTGTCGACGTTCCACTAAGACTCATGGCCGAAGTCGTTGCCGATGGCGTTGTTTCACTAGCGATTATCACAGGCGAGTTATTGTCCTGTTTAAGAATTTCAGCATCAAGAGGAGTTGCAGCCACTTCTTCGTCATCATCTTCCTCCTCATTGTCGCCGTCCTGATCTTCCTCCATATCATCGACTGTATTAAACTTGCGCTTCCTTGTTGGTGCCTCAATCTCTTGCTGTTTGCTTTCTTTGAATCGGGCTTTGGCAACTTTCGTCCGTTCCAGTAACGTTTCGAGAGTGGCTAGCAGAGCCGGGGGTGGCTTGATATCGGCACCACTGCTATAGACTAAAGCCAAAGCTCGCAAGTCGCCGATGAGCCTGGGTGCAGAAGTTTGCACATCAATGACTTCGATTAGAGTGCTCACAAGATTATCGATGATGGAACAAGTTTGCTCGGTAAGTACGTGGCTAGCCAATTTCGGGAAGAAGGTTTTGAGAAAAAAGTGAATCGCTGGCACAGTAAGTGACGATCGTTCGTCCAGCAGTACGGCGTCGACGTAGTCTACTGTGTATGAACACCTGAGTAATAAGTTTATGTACTTTCTATCAATGTGACTTGCGGCGTGTACATCTAACCACAGTCTTGGAAACAGCGCTAAATGCAAAGGAACACCTAGAAACATAATATTTTGAATGATAATTATCTCATGTTGAACGGTAAAAATAACTCCTTTGACTCACCTTCAAAACCTAACATAGCACTCAAATTGATGAGGACCTCTGTCATGCAGTCATGATTAATGGCCAATCTACACATGACATCGATAAGCTCGTGATACGGTAAGTAAAATTCAAGGAGTGCACTGTCGTATTCTGGGTCCGTGCCTTTGGCAGCCTCGAGTTGTGAATGTGGAACTGCCATTTGCACCATGGGCCTGGCTGGTCGGGATGGCATTTTACCGGATGGCGTCGAGCGCCTAGGTAGATAGGGTCCTGGAGGCACTGTTGCGTGTGATTCTTGCAGAGCCGCGTGGCAATGCGAGAGCAGTGGTGCTAGGATGCTTATGGTATCTGTCGGCACGAGCATCACCAACTCTTTGAGCAAATCAATGGCTAGATTTCGCATGTCGGGAGGATTGTAGGTGTTGAGCAGAGTGGCGAGCTTGCGCAACACATCTGGCCACTCTTTACAATTTGCCAAAATACTGCGAGCATCTGGACCCTCTCGGACGGTTCTAACGCAACGAACTAATTCTACTATGATGGCTATCAGCTCCGCAAGATCGCCAGCTACGTGACAGGCTGTTGCCTCATGATACATTATATGTAACATGTGGAAGGCCTCGAGTGCCATACTCAAGCCACCGTTATACACCACAAATAGACGGTCATCATCTGATTCGATCAGGATTCTAAAAAAAAATGAATTGGTAGATTTTATCATTAGAAATTAAAACTCTGGACAAAATAGAAATTCGTTTTTTTTTGGATAATCACCGAAATGCCGATATAAGTGTGGCCCAGCACGACCTCCCGTCGAGACCCTGCAAGTAGGAAGTCAGCGTTCCTCTCCTAAACGTTATAACTTCAGCTTCTTCTTGCTCAGTTTGATCTGGATGCCGAGCAACTAACAACTGCATCAACTTAAACAGTTCCTCTACGGCCTAAAAATTTGTTATGTCGTACAGCTTGTCGGCACAAATGCACAAGGTCAAAATTATAAATAAGATTTTGATGCGACTTACCGTTGAATACTGAGTAGGATGAGGTGTTATATTTTTGAAAGCCCATTGTATATTTTGATGTGCGGCCAACTGCCTTGTGAATGCATGAGATTGTTGACAGCAAAGTCTCAATAAACCATAATATGCCGGCAACATTATACGGTTAAAAAGAACAACATCTTGATCTTCATGATCAGCTCTACAATAACATTCTTTGTGTGAATAAATCAAGTTTGTTGACAAAAAAAAAAAAAAAATTCAAATTTTCAAATGCCACTTACAAAATGTAATTGAATGCAATATTTTTCGTTATGTGCGGATTATGAAGAATGAGAGCAACGTTCTCTGAGCAATCGTTGCTAACGTGATACCAAAAAAGTAAAAGCGCTTGTTTATTGTGATGCACTGGAATGCTTGGTTCTGATAACTTTGGATGGAACAAGGTCCAAAGATCGTTCAAGTATTGTCCAAACTAAAAAAAAAAAAAAAATCACAAATTACTTGAAATGTAGCAAAACGTAAAAAAATTATTTGTCAGAAAAAAAAGGTAAATAAATACGAACCATGAGTTTCTCCGTGTTTGAAACGATGCAGTACGTCATCAAAGCAAAATAGGCAGTGAGTTTCATAGTTCCGTGCGTATTGATATCCGTGTAATTTCTAGCAGGCTGCAATAGTCTGAGAAGGGCAGTATAAATTTGATGCAGTACAAGAGTAGCTTCAGAGGAGAGTTGAAACTCTCTGGATGTGTTGCAGCCAAGTCCCAATCTATGAGCACTTCGATAACTTTGTCTAAAATGTGCAGAAGGTACGAGCGAAACCAGCAGGAAAGCAGCTGCGGACCGTACCCGCTGATTCGAGTGTTCTATCAAAAAGTGCTGAAGCCAGCTGTCGAGGCTCGAGAGCACCCAATTGTGTGCAAGTTTGCTTCGTGTGACAGCTAAAGCAAGCCACTCTAGAGCTCCATGTGGCGCGACTCTTGCGACTTCCCACACTTGGCTCAGGATCAACTGAGTAAGACAGGGAAGTCCTGGTGGACTCGTACCTTCGGTCAACAGAGTCAGAATCTTGAAGAACGGCTGGCAAACTTCCGTGTGTTTCGTTATAGCATGGAAAATCATGCCTATTATTTGCATCGACAGTCTTTCGTTCCAACGACACAGCGACTGGATCAAATTACGAGTTTGATGCAAATTTATCATATCACGTATTTGTTGGTACAAGAAGGGGTAACCCTTGCCACATGCGATTGAACTAAAATCCACCGTCGACAAGTTTAACCTGGTGAAAGATAATTTTAATTTATTAACCATATTCGCAAATTTTCATTGAAATACGTATGACAACTTGAAGAAATTTACCTATGATCTGGAAGCCTGCTACGCTCCACCAAAGTAGCAATCAATGTGATCATTTTATCCAAAGAGGCCGGTCTCACTTTTTCAGTCGCAATCGCCACAACTTCTTCCTCCTCTTCTTCCTCGCTAATGGAATCCACAAACTCGTGGGTCTTATGGCCCAAATAAAAGTTTACCATCGTTGAGATCGCGTTGGCTTTGATTAAAAATATTGTCTCCTCCTCGCCCATTTTGCTAAATTCGTACAAGAAGAAAAAGTACTCGGTAAGATGTTTCAGATGCTGCTTGGCGTGATCCATGAGCGACAAAAGCATGCGAATGAAACGTGTTACGCAAGATTGCATTCCAACTGTTCCAGGGTCATCTTCCGAATCACATATGAGATAGAATGGTGCCTAGAAGAATGTAAAAAAAAAAAAAAAAAAAAAAATTATTAAAATGTTTCATAAGCAAAGATGAACCAATCATGTTCAATAGAATATACGAATATACCTGAGATGGGCGCAGTCTCATGATAACGTTAATACACAGCCTTTGAAACATCTGCCTGACCATCTGATTAGGGCACTTGACTAGAATTTGGACAGGCCACCACGAATCCATGGCCATTTTTTCGAGAAAACTTGCGCACGCCGTTAGCGAGTTGTTAAAATGTTTAGTGAGCAAATCCACCCACTGCACCATCGTTGGTTTTTCCTTGGCATGTATGAAGGTCTCCAGGAAGAATGAGGCCGACAGTTCAGCGGACCATTCCATAATGTTGGGCTGAGCGATAGCCAACGTCTGCGGTATGTAACTGCAGATCTGCCACATGAAACTAAAGTATGTTTGCTCAAAGATGTTCTTGTCTTGGAGAAAATTCATATTGTCCTGCCAAATGTACTCCTCCAGCTCTTTGTTGAGCTCAAGCACAGGCATCTCTTCTTCTTGCTGTAAGCTCGTGGACGTTTGCGTTTCCGACTGTTGGGGCGACGAGTCTATCGACATTGAATTTGAGCTAGACGCCTCTTCCTCCTTGAGCGGCGAGTCACTTGGATCCTGACACCACTCGTAAAACAGCATGTACGCCGAGTTGGATTTCTCAAAGCTAAAGTCCATAAATTTGTCGGTGACAGAGTCATACGTTTTACTCGTCATCTCGCCACCAAAGCACTCTGCAGCGATCTGATTCGGATCAAACGGTTTGACTTCGGCGTCATTGAACAGGAACCACTTATCTTTGTTGGGAGACGTACGATCGCGTATAAAGCTGTAATAGTGTCCCCCATCCGCAGTGCCGGTGTGAACTGTAATGCCGATCAGATCGTAAAGATAGTGTTCCTCCTTAGCTTCGCTGTTTTCCACGTCCTCGTCTTTTTTGCTGCTACTCTGCTTGTCCTCGGGTTTTTCACGCTCCTGACAGTGACGGGGTATCAGCTTATTTTCCATGTAGCCGGACATGTCGAGCCGAGGAGGAAAGCTAAAGTGAGTGTTGACCTTCTCCTTCAGCATCGTGCCCATATTGAAGGTGTAGCGCATCGTGTTGAAGCACAATATCCTCGGTAGCTTCTTAAAGCAGGCCCGCTTCTCCGCGCGTACTTTTTTACCACATTGCGAGCACGTGTACATGTTGTCGCCCTCGAGCGTGTCCTTGACCGTTACTTCGTTCAAGCTTTCGTACAGGTTCCTCATGTCTGCGACTTGGCAACGAACCGTGTAAAATTCCTCGAGGGTTCGACTCACGTGCTCGCAATCGAGGGACACAACGTTGTTAGATATTATACCGCAAAACAGCGTCTTTACAAGATTTTTCAAGTCGCTCGTCATCTCTTCGAGCTTAGACACTAGATCTATAAAGAACTCGGCCATGTCCTTTTGTTCACCGGTGTTTAATGGCTCGTGGTTCATCGTGTAAACCCGACAGAAGCTTCTCGGGTTGTACGCTTTGCGTTCAGATTCCAGCAAATATGCAAACATACGCTGCATCTCCTCCAATGTTAGTTGATGTTTGCTTGCGCGAGCGCACTCGGCTTGGAGTATAGCTGCACGAGCTTGGGGCATCATGTACAAGTGCTGCATACAACTGGCCATGTAACAGGTGGCTCCTAAATTCGTGAGACCAACGTAGCCGCAATCTGATCTTCCGTCATCGTGAGGCCAGTAATCCCAACTGTAAGGCGAAAGCCGCTTCGGCCTGTGCTGATCCAGCAGCTTGTCGTGCAAAATGCGGTAGTTGTCCGGCGCAGATTTGACGAGCTCGACCAAGAGATCGAATGCCGCTGACCTTGATGAGTGGCTCTTGCACTTGGGCATGTGTTTGGCTCTTGGTGTTGGTAGAGCAAACAAAAAGTCGAAAACGCGATTCAAAAGATTTTTTCCAACTTCGCCTTGCTTGCAGGGTGGATTGTGCGCCATTATGTTGCAGCAGAGATTCAGCAAGCCTACGAGGCCGTCGTCTTCGACGGTATTGTGACGCATTTCCAAAAATTCTCGGGCCAATATCGACTCAATGGCACGAGTGGCAAGTGCCTGAAGATCGATCGTACTGCCAGACTTTTCGCTCGTGCTTTCTTGTATCGCGTCCTCGGGTAAAGCGTCGATCAACCTGCAGATGAGCCAAAAATAATCACGACACGCGGGTCCATAGGTGTCCTTAGTGTCGTCCATGCTTTGCTGCAGATGCATCGCCATGTCAGACTTACGCCGACTGGGGTGCATAGTTTCGGCTATGGGCAGGTATTCGAGTAGCTCGAGCAACAGGGGAACTATCAGATTGGCGGGAGACATTTCTAATAAGCAAGAGGAGAGAATGTCTTCGTCACTTTCGACGCTACCAAGGCATAGTTTGTACAGCGCGGTGCAGACTTCCCTACGTACGGCAGGCTCGGGGTCCTCGAGTACGAGCCTGCGGAGCCACGTTTTACCGAACGGCTTGTCACTGGAAAATAGCGACTGTCCGATCGATGGATCGCTATGTACCCAGCAGACCAACAGAGCCATAGCGTAATGGATGACTTGCGATCGCCCGTACATACCAGTCTTGTAATGGTTTGGATCTAATGGTTCCGATGCTTCTTCCAGTATACTCGTTATCCTTGGCAACACGGTACTCACGTTCATCAGGGCCGAGAGTTCTTTGCTAAGTCGGGGTATAGCCAACTTGTCAGCTTTGTTCCGCCGTTTTCCGTTCACGCCCAGATGACAGATTTGTTTCAACAAACTAGCCAAGCAGTCCTGCTGCCACTCGCTGCCGTCTCTGTTCTCCAGACAACCGGACATAAAAATGTCAAAAAGATGGCAAAGCCCGCCGTGGCGCACAAACGTCGTTGACCAGTCCGTTGGAGTATCATCTGAGTCAGCGCTACTCGCGTCGCCACCGCCGCCACCGCCGCCACCACCGCCACTGGCATCACCGCCTCCGTCGTGTGCCATTGACATCATGTCCCGACGATTCGATCTTTTTGCCAAAGATTCAACGATATACAGAGAGTACATGAGTTTGTGCGGATTGGACGGATCCAAAAGTTCCTCGAGCGAAGCTTCATCTAGTTTCTGAAATCCTTGCAGTAACGTGGGACTCGTCGGAAGTAGTGTCAAAGTGTCCCAAACTCTTCGAGATAAAACCTGTTGCGAAAAACAAAAATTAAACTAAAAATCTCACCCACATTCAACAGTATCATATTTTATCTTGTTTTTGCAAAGTTATTTACCTGGCCTTTTGTGTGCGGCACTTCGCGACCCTTCACAATTGTCTTCATAGCACCAAGCGTTCTCATCAGGGTGAACAACTGTTCGAAATACTGCGGTCTGAGGAGCAGCAACGTTGGTAGTGAGTCCCGCGGAGGTGGTGGTAGCAACGATGGTGAATCAATGTCACGCTTATTAGGTCGGCCACCGCCATTACACCTGCCAGCCCCAAGAGAAATAAACACCAGCTGTCCGTCTTTGAAGCCAATTTCAGAGAGAGTTTTCTCATCAAAGTCTATAGTGAGTTCTTGTCCTTGCGTAATCATCCGAATAGGCCCATCCGTCAAAAGAGAGCCTAGTACCGAGCCAGTGCCCGATTTTGCTGTAGGGCCAAGAGGTTTACCATCGTCCATGACGAGACGCGCATGAGTGTCGTCCCACCACTTTGATACTTCAGCTCTGAGATCTGCCACATAATCCGTACTCAACAGCGTAAATGTCGTTTTTTCCGATATACCGGCTGGTTGTACCTGGACACGAATTTGTTGGCTCCTCTCCGACGTGTTTGCTGCTATGTGACTCCCGGCACCTCTGCCTTCTAAAGCCCATCGTCTGAGGTGATAAGCGTAACGCTTGCGGAAAGCTTCGAGGTGCGTCCTGAGTAGTAGAAGAGCTCGTTGGATACAGCGTAGACTCGCCTCCTCGTTTATTTCAAGATCAGCACTGGCTGCAGCTAAATATGTCATACACTGGGATACGAACTCAATCTCTTGTGTTAGCTGACGTGACATGTAATATCCATTTAGATACTGTATTGCAGCCATGCTGACTTCGGTGCTCTTGGCGCGAAGAGCAATTTTCCACAGAAAGTCCATGCCAACGAAATCGACGTCTTTCAGTGGTCTTTCGAGATGAACGGCCGCGAGTCGCGCAAGGTTGCACAGCTGCTGAAATAGACTCAGTCCGGTCATGCTTATTGTCTCGGGTGGCAGGCTCGGAAGTTTCCTCATGCACAGGTGCTTCAACGTGTCCATGCCGAGGGCGTGCTGTTCCGTCGACTTGGCCTGGCTAAGCAGCCAGCTGAATAATTCGTCAGCGCAGGTCGGATCCTGCGCCAAGCATTGCCACAGCGTGTCAACCTGCTCGAGGCTGAGTCGAAAGCAGTCGGGCGAGCCAAGCGGCGAAAATATCGAGGACAGGAATTGCAAGCGCACCTGTACTTCCGTCTGATGGGAATAAAGACTCTTGGGACCGGTGTCGGCGTAAGTCTTGAGATTGTTGAAAAAGTGCTTCATCATGCCACGCTCACGATCCGCCCAGGTTGTAATCGTATGAGCATCCATGGTGCCGAACTGCTGGAAACTGGCCAGCAACTTTGGCAGGATTCTTAATGACACTACGACCGAGCGATTGTTGGCAAGGTTTTCGAGGCAGCCCTCGATAAATTTCATGGGTATCGAGCGATCGACGTTGTAGCACAGTAAGTTGCACAGAGCTTTTTCAGCTTCGACGGCGAGGCCCTCGCCGAGCTGACCTATCTTGTCATCTTGCAACAAGTCCCAGAGTAATGTGTTGCCGGGCTTGCAGACTGCATCAAGATTGAACTGCGCACAGAGACGCGAGACTCCTTGACGGACGGTCCTAATTTGAGGTGCGCGACACACCGAGCGCCGAACTGTCATTGTCGAATGCGCGTGATGGGGATGATAGGCTTGCATATGAATGGCTGAAAGGTGTTGGGCAGCGAGTTGAGCAAGCTCCTCTTCGCAGCCACTTTCCTCGCCGTCAAAGTCAGCCATATTCTTTTCACTCTTGTTGGAGATGCGACTACTGTAGGAGCCTTCCTCGTCAGAGAGCATTTCATCCAAGCAATTCGGTATGTAACGTGAATTTGTTGCATGATCCAAACAACCTGAAAATATTATTCCAACAAGTGTTAATTGTAGGTGTTAAAAATTTAATTGTCGAACTGGAATAACTTTGACGAATCTTACCCAGTTCCGAGGTTACTGTACTAGCACCTTCAGCTCCCGTCACCACACCTACAATGTCGCTGTCATCCTCATCGTGTGAACTTTCAGCTGAATGCATTCCTACATCGTGCCTGGGAATCGTCACAGCAAATTTTGTACCTCCATTTATCAAAGTTCCCACGACTTTTTCCGACCTCTGTCCAACCAAAGTTCCAGATGTGGGCATCTGCTGATCAGAGCCCGCCGGCTGATGCATTGCAATAGCTTCTTGTTTCACTCGATCCAGAGTGTCGACAATGATTTTATCGGTTACGCTTTCTGCGCTCTTATCGTGTTCATCTGACTGTGTCACAGTGCTATTATCCGAAAAACTCATCATAATGCCCTCATTGTTCCCTGATTTATTAAGCTCTTTGCTAGAGTCTTCGCTGACGCTAGTCGTTAACGATGACGACGCTAACGTGGTTGTCGTCGTCGTCGTCGTGATTCGGTTGCCACTGGCCGATCGTTGCTGTGGTCGTTTGCGCTTTCGAAAAATGACCTTTTTTTTCTTTCGCACGTGAATGACGATAGAGTCATCCGCATTGGACCTGTCAGTTTCAGCATCTGTTGTGTGCTCATCGGAACAACTGCCGGTTTTTTCGTCGGATGTGTGCTCGCGTTTGCACGAAGTGTTGGGAGTGTTTTCACTTTCCAAACGGGATCTATCTTTTAACTGGAGCACGTCTTTAATGCCGTACACTTGTTCGCTACATGCTGCTTCCATTTTGGACTTTGATGGACCTGTTAAAGTAATTTTAATTTGAAAAACTTTTGCTACAAAAATATTTTAAATAATCGCTTGAAATACTGACTGTCACATTCACTGTTACTTCTGGCCTGTTTTCGCGGCGATGGACCATCAGAGGCAGTTGGACTCGGTTCTTCTTCCTCATCCGGACTACTACCGTCCATCACACTCGGTTCACTGCTGGTACTGGCTTCGTCTACGGTCAAGTGTCTTAATGGATCTCTGCCTTCGATAGCTAACGTAGTTGTATACGCATTAGTACTAGAGTTCCAGATGACTTTGATTAGCGCCGATACCAAGTACAAGCTCTGTTCTGTGTGCTCTTTGGGCTCCAGTTTTCCCAACAACGAGTACAAATGTTGAACCGGTGTTGGAGCCAGATGCTTCACCAGAGGTGCCAACAAATCGTACACTGGACGGGAACAATGTTTCAGCTGTGCCGCTTGCCAAATGATGTCCATATCGGCAGATGTAATGCGACCCTCCATTGCTAGAAAGCTAAGCACTATATGACTTTGTTTTATCACCTCGACGTGGAGATTTGGACCAAATATGCAGTTTATAATTTTGTTGCGAACAAGCCAGGAGGCAAGTTTGTGTCCAACTTGCTCGATGTCTGGCGTCTCACTGTTACAGAGCTCATTAAAGGTCGTAATGTGAGAGTTTATTTGAGCTATGCCTGCTAGACGCATTGTCAGTGTTGTGCTTGTAAAGTACTTAAAGGCGAGATTTAAACCGGGCTCGTCGAATACAGGACCTACAGAGTCTATTGGATCCTTCACTGTGCTCCACATAAAGTCTGTGAGAGATACGAAAGTATTAGCTGGAATTTGGAGTGAAAGCAAAAACGGTCAGTATGGATTGGAAACATAAAGATACAAATGAAATATTAAATTAAAGGATATTGGATTTTTTCCTTATTTTAAGTAATTCTTCATTAATTTAAATTTTTCTCAACTAAAATCACCAACAGTGTAAAACACTACGTAAATGTGCAATACAAAATTTTAATTGAACGAAATTTGGCAAACTAAATATTCTATTTTTGCCAATTATAAAAAAATTAAATAAACAAGGTTGTCTCAAAGTACATGCAACCATTTTACTTTAACACGCATGTAACTTTTTCCATATGCATATCTTTTACGTTTTCACAACAATGCAACAAGCAAAATGACGTCCATTACTTTACCTGCCATAGTTCTTACAGCCGCAGTTCTCAATTCTTTGTCGCTCAAATTACACATGTACTCCATGATTTGAGAGCGCAGTGGCAGAAATAATTCATTCACAGTCTGGAGATTCAGCCAAAGTTTTAAATTGCAAATAACCGCGACCATAGCATGTGCCAGACCAATGGGTAGCTTGTATTCTTTGACAAAACAAGCTGACATGTAATTAAATCCACCTCTATGGCAAAACACTGACACTGCCCGTATCAAAGGTGTCGGAACTTCTGGATCATGAGGCTCGCAATACCCTTCTTCGTCCTTTAAAAAATAGTAATGTTTTGAAAAATTTTTGCTTCCCTTAACACGACAGAGCTATTTTGAAAATTACCTTAGCAGAATTAGGAGCATTCATGGGCCCTCCATGTTTCATAGCAATGTAGAGAGGAAAGTTTAATAAAAATGTTTTAGATAGTAAGTGAAACAACTTTTCTCTGTCCTGATTATTCCAATTCAATTTGCAGTCTATACTTTGTGATTTTTCTTCCAAATTTTTTTCTTTCTCCTTTTTAGCTGTCTCCTCTCCATCATTGCTACTGGACTCGATCTTTTTTCTCTTATCAGCTGCATCTTGCAACTCTTTTTGCAAATCTTGTAACTGTTGCAGTGTACAAAGAACAATGTGATGAACCAATCTAGCATATCTATCAAAGTTTTTTGGCTCTCGAAAACAGCACATGCACTGTCTGAAATCATTGAAAGAATAAAATAAGAGTTACTTATCATTGCTTCATTGTATTTGAATTATTTCATACCTTTGAGCCCACTGATTTGTGTAATGTAAAACAGTGTCTACATCACAAGCAAGAAGGTGTGCTATCTCGTCTTCGTCCTGATTGATTCTGTCATCATCTAAAAAAGTTATAATTGTCAGTTAAAATTTAATTGTGTACGTTACATGAATGAATATACTTACAAATTAAAAAAAATTTTTACAAAAAAAAGTTCTACTTAGGATAAAACTCTAACCTACAAACCCACATGAGACTCATGAAAAAATGTAACGTGTATTAAATAATCGTATTTAATCTTTTGTTTACTGTATGATACAAATTTCACGTGAAATTCGCATGTTGAATACTACTTATAAATGAATATTGGAGTCAAAGATTTATGATATTAAAATATGTTTATAACAGCTTGCTGTTATATCATTTTAGGTATTTCTTGAGAACTCGTGTAATTAGTTTTTTTTGTACTTAACTATATAAATAAATATCCTTAATCTTGTTTACTTCTGAGGTTCTTGTTAAAACAATTGTAAGTAACCATATTGTGGTTTAACGTTCTCACTAAAAAACTGTTAAAATTATTTACTCTTTGAAAGTGAACATCGTTTTAGGTTAAGATTCAAGTTGAAAATTTAATAAGTCAAAAATAAATACTTGCAAATTTAACTTTTAATGATTAATCTAATAATTTTAATCTTTTCCAAGATTAGATACCATTGTATATTTACTACTATAAGGCCTTAGGCATCATATGTTTGTAAAATTTTGAAAGGTCATCTCATGTAAAAACCCGTTATAAAACCATGAAAGTAAATTATATTGCATTGATGCCAAAGTATTTGTTTTTTTCATAAAAATGCCACCACAAGCCAGAGAACGAGACCCAATAAATCTTTGGGGTGAAAGAAAGTTGAAAGAAACTAATCGGGTTCATGGATGACAACAACGTGATGCAAAGATTAAAAAACGAGGATGCCGAGGAGAAGGTACACTTACAGGTGAGCAAAAGTTCGTGAAAATCGGCACACACATCGCACATGATGGCGTAGCGATCCCCGTATGCCTGGGCCACCGCAGACGGTCGCTCCTCTGTTGCTCCTTGCAGCCACCCTCTGGATAGTTTGGACGACGACGACGACAACGGCGACAAAGTTTTTTATCTTATACACGTTTTTCTCTCTTTGAGTATGTCCATGTATAAAATATTCTCTATACCTGTAGAAAAGAATGTTTCCACACGAGCAAATGTCACGTCTCCTCAAGAAGTTTCATTCTACTTAGGTATGCCTCTGTAGTACGCACTTGGACACTGAGTCCTTGATTTTTGAGTGTTCCACTCTCTGTTGCTGGGATATCTTGCACCAAGGGTAATTGTTGTGTATGTGAGAACTTTTCTCTCGATTTTCGGAGCAACGCTGCCAAAGCTTCTTCTCGCACTTGCAGCTGATGGCAGCAGCAGCCTAGATTTCGCTTCTCAACATTTGTCACTTATATACACAATGAACATGTGTATATGCGTGTATATGTATATAAACGCTCGTAAGTCTCGTAACAGCACAAGCAGTGAAAACAGTTCGTTAACTTCTCGGTCTCCATGTTGATCTCGTTGTCTCTCTTTTACTAATCTCTGCGTCATACACACACACATCTATATATATACACGCATGTAAGTATAAGTGTAGGGACTGTACCTTTGTTGTGAGAACACTTTCCTCTCTTTCTCGTTTTTTTTTAAAGTATACCTTAAATATAGTTGTACTTAGTTCAGCTCAGCATCACTTTGTGTGCCACTTGATGCAAGCAAGCAACAAAATAGAAAGAAAGAGAGAGAAAGAGCAAGTTAGAACTTGCCCATGGGACGACTACACTTCTCTCTCTCCCATGCAAATACGTTTGTTTGTTGTTGCTATCGAGTGTCGATTCGTTCACTAAGCAGTGCATGTTCCTACTTAAATGACACACATATCAATGGTGTGATCGGTTGATCACTGATGGTTGCCTGGACTAGTGAACTGCAGTATACCTACATTAAAAAGAAAATTGTCCCTTTTCTCTTTTTGTTTCGATCAGTCTCGTGCGACAAAAGAAAGAAGCATACAAAATTTACTAGTAATACTAGGGGTAAATGACCCAATTACTGCGCATGCACCAGTTACTGCGCACTCGACGGTAACTGAAAATAAGAAAAACAGACTGAAAAATTTGAGTGCTTGGATATTGTAACACGTACGAACATTAATAACGTTAAATCCAGAATCATACTTTACATCATGACATTTACAATTGTTTAACTGAGTGACTCTAAACGAATCAAACCTACAAAACTTTGTAGTCGCGCGTAGTGATTGGTGCGCAGCAATTGGGACTAGGGCTTCAGCATGAAAACCTTGAGATACCGGGTATCTGATACCCGCGCAGTAATTGGGGGCGCAGCGACTGGTGCTAATTTTATAACCGTGCGCACTTGCGCAGTAATATCAGCACTAAAACAATTATTAAAAAAAAAAAAAAGTTACTTAACAGAAAAATGTTTGTCGTTTTAATCGCACAAGATGCTGCAGATAAAGATTAAGTAAAACTGGTTCAATTTACATCGAAAAACATTGAGAAATGAGAAATTTAGTACAATCAAAAATTTCAGTGCGCAGTAATTGGGTCATTTACCCCATGTATAATTTTATCCGTAATCGCAGGTAATTCTATTAATTTTGCCATATATTCCCGCCTGCAGCAATGAATCCGTGATCACTATTGACTATAGGTCTGTCACAGGATGAGTCCTGACAGCAGAGTCTCTGTCAGACTGAGTGACAGCTGAATTGCTGTGCTGAATAGCTGATTTCCATTGACCGTCACACTCGCAATAATAATTGTATACCGCGTTCGAGTCGGCTGGCAGGAAGTGCAGGTGTTATTTTTCCCCTTTATTTCATTTGATGACTAACATCGAGAGAACTAGATTGAACCTGGAACTAGGTTATTCGGAGTAACACGTTGAACATCGTGTGTAATACATTTTTTTTTTTTTTTTTTTTTCTTGATTTTAATAACGATCGGGCGCGTTTATCTCATTACCAAATAAACGACGCGCGTTAATCGCATCAAAATTGGACAAATTACAGGAAACCCTAGTCCAACGTAAACTAGTCATATTTGTTAAATTTTCAAATATTGTTAATACGTCACATTTTTTTTGGTTTCCTATGAAATGTAACAATTCACTTCATTTATACTCAATGCAATGATAACTTTTTTTTTTTTTAACAATAGCAAAACTTTTTGAATTTTAATTATATGACTTATACCAGATGAATCAATATTATCAATCGTCTCATCAAATGAAAAAAATTGTCCGAGAATACTCGGTAAAGCAAAACCTCTTTAAAAATACCTCGAAAATCAGACAGTTACTTGTGGGTAGTGGTCACTTTTGTTGCTAATAATCCAATTTTTCCTTGTTTTTGTATTTAAAATTATCCAGGAATGCATTTAAATTCCTCTTTATTGCAACATAAAAGTAGATATATTTTCCAGTTATCTAGTCATTTTTTCTTTATGCTTGAAATATGAGTATCGCCCGGTTTACTCGATTTCCGCAAATCGATCGCGAGTGACCCGCAACGATAAACCGCAGTAAAAAAAAATATTTTATGTAAAACGTACCGCATAAAAGCTTCCAGGTGATGTTTAAAAAACAACTTTATGCTCTTTGACCGATTTTAACACAATGATTAAATAAACTAATAATCCGATTTTAATTAACACTGGAATTTTTAATTCTTTGAAGTCTTACGATTCGAGAAATTTTTCACGCATAAGTAAATAAATAATTTTTACTCATGAAACAAATTTCCCTCCATGACTGCGGATATACTTAACTTCATTAATTGCAAGCCTCATAGGCATTGCTTTATAGCTCAAAAATATACAATGGGTTATTGGTATAGAAAGTTTCATCAATATCTAGTTGTTAATTCTTCTCTCAGAAATAAAACCTTAATTTTACATACAACAGATAAAAATCCTTTTATTGCAAAATGTATTTTTACAAATAAGAAATTATTGCTACATTTATCTATTTGTAAATTTTTTTTTTGAGTGTCTACTTGATGATTGTGTGATCAACATGGTACATAATATGCATCACAAAAATGATAAGAAATTTACAATAGAAAATATTAACAACAGGACATTATCACTGTAGAACCTAAACTTATTGACAAATAGAACTCACGATGCTTTAACAACCTCTTTTTCATTACTTGAGACAGTTTGACTGGCTGGGTTACTATTGACTTTTTTATTCGACATTTCCTTTAGACTCTCATTTTTGGCCAACTCTTCTTCTTCTTCCTTTTCAATTTCTTCTATTTCTGGATCTTTGTTGTAAATTGATGGATATTTCACCATACAACTTTGCATTGTTTTGAATGCTTCAAAACACTCTGACCCCTTCGGCTCCGAAGTAGAAGAGTGGAAGCAAGAAAATGCTTCTCTAAATTCAACACCACAGGGGCCAGTAGCCATTCCTCCAAGACATGGACAGTTCCAGTTGATTTCTCCATTAGGTAGAAGTAGACCTGGGCTTGGTTCTGGTTCTGGTAACTTCACCTTACTAGGTGTTGCATGATCTTCTCGTGTGGCAAAGATGATTGTATTTTTTCCTTCTTTTCTGATTATAGACATGGCTGTCCTAAATAAAAATGCTTTTAGTCAATTCCAGGTTTCAATAAAAGCATCATTTTAAAATGTGTTTTAGTATTTAGTTTACAAGTATAAAATAATTACTAGTTGCAATAATATGACCCAATATAATTCTAAACATAGTATTATTAATAAACTTACCAGTTCAATGGTCAAATGTCCTACTATCTGCAGTAAAAGACAATAAGTTTGGAGATACTCTGTGCACGTTATAACTGCAAGGGTCTCCTTCAAAAGAATTGGCTACTGTCAGAGCAGCTCTCAGTCTTACGTAGCTATCAGAACTACAACGTAACACAAATCTCTTCTCCGTAGGATTGTACTTGAGTATATCAACCCTACTTGCAGCACCTTCAGTCCCTAAAAATTGCTTGACAGCTATTGACAACTGCGTTTTGAGGGTCGTGGCAGTTATTGGAGTGTCAGGCTCCTGAGTCAATCTTCTGCAATGACAAAAAAATTCATGGAAATGTTAAGTTTCAACGTTAATCCACTCGTTCAGTGATTTCGTAATGTCGCTGTACGTCTATTACAGACACGCTTTTCACTTTTTTTTCAGAACTGTAGAAAGACAGAGATACTAGATCAAAACTTTTAGGTTAAGAAATTGATGTGAGGCACATGAAATGTTCCATAAATTAATAAATAAAAAGTGTTACCGGTACTAACAAGGAAACGTCTAAATAATGCATAGCACAGGTAAAAGACAATTCACACCTCGGCCAGCATCATTTGTCCTTTACCATTTAAACTTGAGATATTTGTGATTTTTTTCGCATTTGACACATTCACAAATTTCACGATTTTCTGCTGTCGTCTCTTTCTCTCTCTTGATGGGAGGAAGGGGGGGGGTAAAAAATTCCTAAGAGAACATTTGAATTTCGAGAGATTATACTATGAATAATATCATTGTATAAGATTTATGTTTATACAATATTTTATAGGTCTTTTTAACAAAAAAAAAAAGTTACTTAACAGAAAAATGTTTGTCGTTTTAATCGCACAAGATGCTGCAGATAAAGATTAAGTAAAACTGGTTCAATTTACATCGAAAAACATTGAGAAATGAGAAATTTAGTANAAACAAACTATCGAATATCAATTCGTGTGACCATTATGATTTTGATCCTTTTCTTGACTCGTGATTGATATTGAATTGATATTTATATCGACATTATATACCAAAGAATTTCTCTTTAACAGATAATCTATATTTATATTCATATTACTATATTTAGTATCACAACTTTATGAAGACGTCGACTTTAGCGCTATTTTAGGTCATAAGTAATTTAAGAGTTTGACGATTTCTTTCCTCTTGATATTTTTTGAAAAATGAATAGAAAAGAAACAGAGGTTTTTAAAATATTTAAATACTTTTTCTATATTTATAATATCCACAATATTTTACATAATATATGTATATACATATTACAATGTCATCATTTATAAATAACAAACTTAACATATTCAGCAGTTATTAATAATTGCAAATGTAGTTGACTCATTTAAGTACTTTTATATACTTCTTAAAATCGGACCCTTTAAAAGGTTACACACATACTGATAAGTGACTCATTGAAAATTTTAAACTCACTTTTCAAGTCAGCTGACTCACTACATATTATATTCATGCTGTACAATGAAATAAGAAATTTAAAATATAATATTATTAAAATGAGGTACTGTAGTACATAATTTGAATGAAATACAATTTTATTTCTATTCAATTCAATAATTATTTTGCCTATAATGATAAAAAGCTATTTTTTCCACTTAGTGCTTTTTTTTTTTTTAAATCATACATGCACGAATTGAAAAATGGCTCAGTTTGTTGATACTATGGAATATTAAGAATATTATGGTGTACAAGTGATTAACTATTTTGTAAAGCTATTTGACATAATGAAATTTTCTTCCTATACACAATTATTCTTCAATAAGTCACTGAATATATTTACTATAATTAATTTAACGTGGTAAACTCCAAATTTACATGAAACCGCACATTATGTAATTAACAGTACATACACTCTCATTTAAGCAACTATATGGTACATCACGGTAATCAATACGATGCAATCAATAATATCTGCATTAATTACAATAAACATAATTCAATTAAAATTCAATTTTTTTTTCGTGTTTTTAAAATTAGATAAATATATGAGAGAAGCATAAAAATTGGTGCTTAAAACTTAATAAAATATACACAATGAACTACCCAAAGAAAGACCCGTAAAGTTATCAGTAAGATACTTTTTTTTTATCACCAGCAAATGATCAACAATAATAACTATAATATTCATATAACTTTTTTTGTTACATAAACAATACTTTTACAACATACTTAGTGTTATACAAAACTTTTGTAGACTAGAGCATGGACCAAAATTAAAATCATGAAAAGATACAATTTTGAATTTCCCTGTACTGCTAATCATAAGTATTGATATAAATATCCATAAATAAGACCTTAAAAGACTTTGGAGAAATAGTTATTTAGAATCCTATTGACTTTCATTCATCACATAACAGGGAAATAAGTTCCACAAAATGTGATAAATTTTTCTGTAATCGTCCACTTTGTAGTCTATTAATGCTATCTACAGGTAAATTATGAGTATAACGTACAAAAATCTTTTTTACATCTAAAATTGACAAAAATTAACCTATGCACAATAACATTTTTTTTATTATGCTTGAAAATTTTAAGTCTTAAAAATTGAAAAAATTTTTGTCAATTGCATAGTAAGAATCACAAACGTTCACTCAGCTCTTTGTAGTGGAATGTCAAATATATATCTACGTGAAAACTCAAAAGTTAATGATTTTAAAATATTTTTAGTGTGACATTTCAAGTTTACTTTCTAAGTTGGAAGAGCAGTACACCTAATAGTCTGAATACAAATTTTTAAGTTGGCAGATTTATATTTTTTTGATTGTATAGATTTTTAAGGGCAATTAACAAACGTTAATAGTTAATAGTAACTTTTTTACAACAAAAAGTATGGGTTACAAATGTATATTTCTCAATAAATGTGAATAAAAAATAAAAAATAATGATAGTTATCAGAATTAAGTATTATTTTATTGACGAAATATTGGTGTAGTACGTAAATTCAAAATAAGCTAAATTTAAATGTACAAAAATAATTAACTATAATTGATTGCAAAAAAAAAAAAAATTGATAATTTTGCACAACTGTTTTAAAGTATAATGCATCTTTTAATGTGTTCTTAATGTTAATAAAACTTATATCTCAATCCGAAAAAAACAGTTTTTTTTATCATTAACAAAAATAGCTCTATCACTCCTACAAAGTAAGTGTATATCTAATCAAAAGGGTTGAATGGTCAACCTGTAAAAAAAGAAGCCCTTATTTGAAATTAACTATTCTTACCCTTTTAAACGTGTATTCAGACCATTGTTACTCAGCCAGGCATTTTTTTATTTATCATAGCACCTAAATCCGGAACAAATTGCTTGTGCTCAGGATTATACAGCAGCGTTCTTGCACTTAGGAATGATAAATCTGGCAGTTGCTTCAAAACTTTTATTGTTTCTGGCCTTACAGTCATTGGTCTGCCATATCTATCCAGCACAACATTCTCTGGATTTTGCACGTGCTCCTGCTTGTTTAACGAAGACTTTTGTTGTAATTCGTGACGCTGGGGATCAGTTCTACCATCACACTCAACTCTTTTGGATTCTGACTTGCTACTTGTGCTACTACTGCTAGCTAGGAACGATTTATTATTATTCTGAGCGATTTTTGAAGTCTTTTGCGTTTCATTCTTTGTTCTTTGTTCTACTTCAGATTTTTTCCAGTCTATAGCGCTTGGTCCAGGTAATGGTTCAATGATTCGAGATGTTGGATGTTGTTTTTGAGGCTTAGGTGGACTGTTACTACTTTGCCGGTTGCTCGCTGGTTGTAATGGCTTTGAGTTTTGAGAGGAGCTAGTTTCAGTAAAATCTATAAAGAAAAAATAAACCGATTTTTTTTTTTATATATCTCAACTACTTATTGGCTCAATACTGAAAACTAATTAAAGCTGACATGTTTTTTCAATTATTTACAAAAATTCTGCAATTAAAATAAATAATATGTTAAAAACTATTAACTGAAATTAAAAATTTTTTAACTAATGGCCCATTGCCAAAAAAATATAACCAATCATCTACTACTTGTATCAGTAAAATATCGTTAGTAATCTGGTAAAAGCAGACGTATTTAAAACTACAACTGTCGCACCATTATTGTTATATAAAAAAACTAGCTTGTATTACTTACAATTGTATTTGGAGCTCCTGGCAGAAGCAGCATGATGATAGGATTCGGAACGAGCGGAACAATGGGATGTTAGTAAAGGATCAAATGGGTATAATAAGTCCAGTGGTAGAAGTGCAGATAATCCGCCACCTGTATTTTTAATTACGTTTTTTTAAAAACGACCCAAAGCCAACACCATTGACAAACAAACAAACAAACACCAATAAAACATGTAGGAGAAAGTATACAAGAAAGGCTTACATAAAAGAAAAATCAAGCAGTAATCAAACTAATTAATTGAAGAAATGATGCATAATTATAATTTTATTGGAACCACTAGGACTATATGTATAGACAAACTTCTTTTTTGTGAAATGGACTTACTTTCATCTAAAGGATTCACTAGCCCTGAACTGTTCCAATCGAATTGTGCAGCAGGCACATCCTACATCACAATAAGTTCATTAAAACATGCTTGGTAAAGTGGTACTTATTTAACAAAATTTTGTTTAACAATTTACATACTTCTGTGATTGTAGAATTCTGCGTTTTGTTAAAATTTGATGAGGATGTTTGCGTATCTAAAGAAGCTTTAACTGGCTCTAATGGTGAAAAACCTAAATTAGCTGCAAATCTTGGAATGTTTGGATTCCATCTTGGTCCAAATAACTAGAAAATAGGAAACTTCAATTATGATTACAATATAAATAAATAAAGTTATTCTTACAGTAAACATATTAAGGTGAGTGAATTTTATTTATAATCAACTACTAATTTTCATCAATATTGGTACTTTAAAGTGTGCAAGTCAAGTACTAGAATTTTCGGAGTCTATACTTACTATATTACGTGAGTCAATGCCCAAAGCGTTCAAAAGTGCATTATTGCTACTACTATTTGACCATTGATAACTTAGTGCATTAGTTTCCTCAACGCTTTTTAAATTTTTCCATGTTTTATCGTTCCTAACTATCAATGGTTGCAAATCGACTTCTGGACTTTCGATGCATGATGGAAACATGTTTGTAACTATATCTTCAATTTTATTTGCAGCCTGCAAATTAGTTAAGGCTACTTAAATATATTTTTTAAAGTACCTCATGAGTTTTTTATGATAACTATCACGACTTAGTGAGAACGGTAAGCCAGAATTTACTAAAGACTAGACATAGAGTAAATATTCAAACAAAAAATTCAACTTGTGTTAAAAAAAAATTGATACTCAAACTTACGTTTTTATTTTCTATTCGGCATATAGATTCTTTTAAACTAATAGCTGGTTGGTCGAGTACAGGTACAGACGATTCAAAGTCGGCAAAATCACCGAATTCATTGACCGCCTCATCATCAAAATTTCTGCAAGTTTTCAGCTCTTCAACGTCTAATTGATCAAGTTCTACATTTTTGTTAACGGGTTCAACGGGTACACTTGCAAAATCAGCAAAATCAGCAAAATCGTCGTCAATATCGTTGTATGACGACGACTGAATGCTTTCAGACATTTCTTCTTTTTTTGACTTGCCTTCTGACAGGGTGTTTTCGACTTTGTCGTTTGACGTCTCCTCATTGACGCAAAGTACTTTTTCGTAAGGAGGCAGTGACGACTGAAAATCGACGTCGTAATCATCGTTGACGGAATGTACTAATTTTTCATCGTTTTGTTTTGGTGTTGAACTGACGTCGTCTGAACTGGTAATGCCATTTTGAAAGATCGCCCCTTGATAAACATTTTTTTGAAAGTCGGAAAAATCACAGTCGATTTCTTTACTAAGGATAAAACTATTTTCTTGTACATCGTTTTCGAAAATACCAATTTCATTGCTAAACGAGTATTCCGTTTTGTTGGCATTTGGAGAATTTGGGCTACCTTCTTGAACAATATCAGCAGTCTTTAGATCAATGAAATTGTCTTTTGATTGTTGTAAACTATCTAAATTTTCATCTAACATGTATTTTCTATCTGAATTATCAAAGCCATTATTATCCACAAACTTACAAACAAGATTGGATTCTTTTTCTGTTACATCATCAACACTCAAGCTAAAATTATCAAAATTGTTTATTTTTTTACTTTCAGAAATTCCATCATCATCACCATAGTTAATGTCATTAATGACTGTGTCTCTTAATAATGTACCAAACTGATAATTTGTAAAAGTTCCACTTTCATTGTTATTTATTTTTGTTTCTTTAATTGGAAACTCTAAGATTTCAGATTTTTTTTCTTGATAATTATGAAGAATGTGACGTTGAATAGAAGAATCAGCATACATTGTTTCTTCTTTGTCACCAACAAATAATGAATTATCATTATTCTTATTACTTTCGTCAATAGGAGATAAATCTTTAGTGAATACATCGTTTTGTACTTTTAATTCTCGAGGAATTTTTTCCAAATCAAGTGTCAAGTCAACATCTGTTCTAGTTCTAGCAGAACTATCCTTGTAATACTCGTAATCATAAAAATCATTCTCTAAAGTCTGCTGTATATCTGAAATGCTTTTTGGATCATCCAATATCAAACTAAGTGGTTCAGGATCGTCGTTGATCTCCAGGTTGCTCAGTGAATCCTCCAGCTCACTTCCTGTTTTTCCACTATCATCTAAACTACTATTATTACTACTAACTACATCGTTATTGTTGGTACTTTTCTCCTCAAAGCCATCTTGCAGATTGCTAAAACTATCACTATTGCTTTTTACATTTTTCACGTTTTCACTGTCAGGCAAATCTATATCACTATTGCGAGATAAACTGTCACGATCAAAGCCACTGCTCTTAATGCTACCACTGTCTGTCCTATCATCTAGATTAATATGGCTCACTATGTTATTGAGCTTTTCAACAGTCAAAATATCGTCAACCATTGTTTTTCTGATAACATCTTTAGTTTTGGCTAATGTCACCTGTACTGGAGAAGAGCTAGATACTCCATTAACATTTGGTGTACCACACTCTGATGGTGTTGGTGTCAGCATTGGGGTAGCCAGCTTTCGTGGGGAATCCGATGCCACTGACAGGCCTAGAAAAATCAACACAATTTTGAATAAAGACACACAAATGTAACTATAACATTTAAATTGTTTCTCACCATCAATACCAGCAGCTGTAAAGTCTCCAAACTCATCATCATCAGACTCTCCAAAATTGTCCAGTGGTGGTGGCGTCGAGCTAACCAGCGGTGGAATGGCCATTGTAATCAGCTTAAAAAAAATGTAAACATGCAGATCTAATTAAAAGCACCATCTACCCTCTTTTTCCTCTTTAACTTGATTTAAAAACTCAACCGTATTGCGAACCCGATTATCATGCTCAGTTCAACATGTCGTATATACCAGAAATGTCGAAAAGCGACAATGAAAATACTTGCACGTTAAACTGATGATAAAAAAACACTACACAGACTAACTGACACAGCAGCTATATCAAATAAGTAGCAAGCTCCTATTACTATTCAGGTATTTTCACCTCTCACAACGAGCAATACAAGGACACAGGTGTGTTGTATCGGTGTTGCTCACACGCGCGCTCGCCACCCTCTCTTTTTTTTTCCTTACAATACTTAGAACGTCACTCTTTTCTAATCTATCACGGACACTATACTATCAGCACACGAATCACCACAGTATCAGCACACGAATACTATAGCTTCTCTGGTTATACTGTAAATACATAATAATTTCAATAACAATGCCTTATCTCGTTAGATATAGGGTACGTGGATGACAATTAGAACGTCGCCCAGAGACACCCACTCTTATTTCCTCTTCTCCTCACCTATATTCGCATCGTACCTGTAAAGATAACGACGACGACACATGAGGCCTGCTGAATTCTCGAAGATTATACTCTTATAGAAAAGTACTTAGTTTACTTGTTATTTGTAAGTAGTAGTTTTTCATTTTAAGGTAGTTGACGTTTTTTCTCACGCAATTCACGCAAGTATAAGGCATAAGGCCTGTCGAGGTCTTAGCAGCAGTCTTAGCAATTTTAGTAGACATGAGTAGTATACTTAGCTACTCTCATCTTTGCTTTTAGCTCTGCTAGTCTGCTGTCAGTGAATGTGTATAGGTAATACACATGCAACACAACGCACAGCTCACTATAGGCCAATAATCCTTCACACGGAATTCACGGAAATACCTCAAGTCCTCATTCCTCAACCTCGTTTTCATTACAATACCTGCTATCAATTGCACGTACTTACGACACTCCGTCTGAATGTCTGAAGATCTAATCAGACTCTGATCTAATCCCGAATATCCCGATCCTGACCCGATCGGAAAAAGATTCCGTGTACGCCGGAAGGTAGTATACGGCCCGTTTATGTTTACCGGAAAGAATCTTCACGGGCCGTATGGGTCGTTTTACCAGGTCCCTTTCCGGTCAGTATATGTGTGAAACTTATAGTCTAACGACTATATACATATAGTGCCCATGAACTGACCGTACATGGCCCTTAATCATGATTTGATACGTAGGTAGAGGTTAGATTGCTCCGAAAAAGTATAATTGTACATTGTACATTGTACTATATATAGTGTAGAGTGTACAGTACATAAAATAATACCGTAACGTGACTACACATGACGGTCAATCTCGAATGGTACTCAGCCTGAGTAACTCAGGATTCAGAATCAGGATATCGACGGTCTGAATCAGACGATTCAGATCTCAGCTCCCGAGCTCCGTTGTAACACTTGTAACTTACTTATAGTAACGTTGTTGTAGGCGTTTGTGGCACAATTGTGGCTTTCCGTTTCCGTTCGTGCTCGGATTTTTGGTTTATTTTATGGCACTTAAGTACTTACAACAGCCCGTTGTCAACAGGTGGTAGATATTGCGGTAGCCACATTTCAAAATTAAAAAAAAAAAATTAATTTAAATTAGTATTTTTCTTGATTTATTTTTATGATTTTAGGAGTATTTAAAAAGGTTTACAGACTACCTGTAGCGTGTCTCATAAAATTTTTACTAAACAATGTAATTTAACATAATAGAAAAATAAATGATTAATTTTTTTCGTGTTGATTAGTTAATTGTTTAATTATATTTGTTTATACTCACTGTCGGTAAATGTGCTTCCATTTTACATTGAGTGACCAATCGATGGTAAGGGCACAGTCGGTAAAAGGAAAAAAAAAATTCGTTTTTCTTCATACAATACAGATGTAATACTCGCTCGTCTGAAAGTGCTTCGAATCCAAAGTCCAAGTCTATAATTGTGACATTTAAATCAATCTGCAATATGAATCATTTGTTCTGTGATTATTTCGCCATGCTATTTAAACGTTAAGTATGCATAGTACGAGGTTGATAAAACACCCTTCTCTTTCACCCACCCCCCCCAGTAACAATGATTATACGCGGAAAAGCTCTTTGGTATAACTTACCTACTTTTGCCAGTGCGGTACTACATGTCGGCATGTATTATTGTCATGGCAACAAAAAATAAGACGGCGACAACAACAAACGCAGCTCAGTAATAGCATTGTTCTGGTTCCATTTGATTTTTTTGTTTGTTTTTTTTCGCCTTTTAATCAAGAGTAAGTACCTACAAAGTGCAGCTTCTACTTGACAGCGGGATGGAAAATAACAATGCAATGGGTAACGGCAGAATACACCAGGAAGAGTCAGGAACTCCAAGTGGACCGCGCTTTCGAAGAGACAGATCGAAAAAGAGTAAGTGTGTCGAATATTTTACCGAGGACAATTAACAAAACACAGCATCTTTATTTTATTTTTTTTTTTTTTATTTCTATTCGTACATATCCGATTGAGCTCAAAAAATTAAATCTTCGTCTTGTTGGACCACTTCTTACATATATAAGCCTCGGTCGGGAAATTTAACCAAATGAATTTTTAAGATCCGTTTTGACCGCAAGCTTGCGATTGTACGGAATCCCGCGTGCAGGGGGGGGGGTCCCATAAGCGGCAATCAGCGTTTAAAATTAGAGTATATAGCGAGGGATGCTATACTTGACAGCCTCATCTCGGTGAAACGTAACTTTGCAGTGGCGACAGAATAAAAATAAACACAGATGTACAACAAAATACACGTTTTACCACCAATATGTAATGAAGATCGCTCCTAACGAAGGAATAATCCCCATGGTAGACTATCGAGCTCATTTTTTGAAGAGTTGGACAAGTGGAATACTTTATAACGCGGTATACCATACGTTACATGCTTTGGTACTTGTATATTATGTATATTTTTCACATTGAGTGTATTTGAATTTTTTTCGACTTGGACCCAGAAATTTCTTACCGGTGAAGATTTTGAAAACAGAAACGCGCTTTGATGCTTTGGAGGCTCTTTCGCCGAGGATTCACCCTCGCTTGACCCTAACACTCGCTTCAGATTCGGACGATTTGTTCGTTTGTTGGCCACAAAAGTGACTCGTACCTTTTACCTGTCCTGCATCCATGTCTCCCTTCGCCGCGCCGAGGCATGTACTTATTATCACTACTGGCACATATTTTCACCCGAAACGAGTCCCAAGACCGAAAGACTTTCGTCTCGTTGGACCATACGTTAACATCTGCGCTTATGATTTTTCCTTAAGCCTTGGCCAAGAAATTTAACCAAATGAATGTTTGATTCAAGATCCGTTGGAAATCCGGCCCGTCGAGAAATACAATTGGCTCATGTATCGATTTTACACGCGGCTCGAGTTCGATAAGTGCAACATGCTGATCGAAAGCGAGCTGAAAGAGTGGGGTGGACTAACCGAGTACCCAAACTATTTGAAGGTAAATTATATCATTCTTTTTTTTCTCTTCCCCTTATTCATTGCATTCGTTTCATTGTCTGTTTGCGCTCAAAAGGGCTGGATTTTACGGAGAGAAGGAAAAATACAAGATTCACTGGACAGTTTTCAAAAGGCGCACTGGGTCAATCCAAAGAATGTGAACAACGCCAAACAGATAGCCAAATCATTGTACGTATGCACATCACGTTATGCTTATACTTACCTACCTATAAAAAATAAGGACAGCTTGTATCAGTGGCATATTATAATGCGAGTATAATTTTTTTTTTTTTGCTTCTTTTTTTCTCTTTCCTCTCCATTTTTGCAAGATTTCTCCTGGGTGACCATAAAAAGGCGATCGACGTCTATCTGGAGGCCGAAAAAATGTGCAAAACGCCCGACTGGGAGATCCACCACTACTTGGGTATAAACTTCCCCTCCAAGCGATATAATTAATCACACATCTCTCCGAGACGAAGATCCCAAGGTGTGTGCGTGTTAATGTAATGTATATACGTGTACGTGTTGCAGGGGAGTGCTACACCAAGATAAAACGCCTCGAGGACGCTAAGGCTCAGTTGATAAGGTCCAAGGAGCTGACGCGTCTACGGCTGCCGTACGTCGCTCTCGCCAAAATTTACGTCGCGGAAGGACGCATCAACGACGCCATAGTCGTTTACGAGGAAGCTTTCGAGTACGTGTACACATAATATAATACAACTTTGGGAGGAAAAGGCTGCGTGCCTTTATCACCCGAGGTGGGTGGTTGCGGTAATAATGCGTTTAATGATAAATTAACGATGATCGCAGGGCAGAGCCCGAAAACGAGGAGATAGCGACGGAACTGGGCCAATTGTACCTGGGATTAGGCGACACCAAGCGTGCCCTCCAGCAATTTGGCATGGCTCTCGCTCGCTCGCCCAATTATTCCAAGGCCATTCTCCCTCTGGCTTACGTCGTACAGGTTTCCCCTTTCTTTCTTACTTTCTTTCTCGGGTCCATATATTATATACCCTGTAGCTTATGTCTCTCTGCTTCGTGCAAACGAAAAATCGCACTCTGCGATCTTGGGGATATCGAAGGTTTGTGTAATCCATTGTTGCAGACCAACGGGGAGTACGACGTGGCCTTTTCCAAGTACAAGATAGCCGCTGCAACGATGCAAGAGTCATGGACAGTGTGGAACAACATCGGCATGTGCCTCTTTGGAAAGCAAAAGTACATTTCCGTAAGTCTTTTTTTCTCTACTCGCGCTACGTATAGGTACACATAAAAACGTATTTCGATTAGACGAGTCACTGAGCTGGATCTACCAGTAGATAACCTTTATACCAGTATTTTTGAAACAAATACAACACGTATGCATCATAGACTAGTGATTTTGATAACTCGGGAGGGGAGTCCTCGTTGATTCGTCTTTTCCGTAACATTTCTTATTTATCGTGTTTACGATGCGAGACGAAAATCGTTCCTTTCCCCGAAATGAGTTTTTCTTGTATTTTTCTCGTTTTTCCGGGCAATCAAAACATTTTTGTTGCGCAATGAGGGCCGATGGTCTAGGGTTTCATCCCCCTTGAACGTACTCACTCGGCCAAAACGATTTATTCATATTTATGGAAATCCCGCTAGCTATGCTCTTATTTCTCGGTAAAATCCACGTGCGTGCCCAATATACATTGTTATCTACCAATAAATTTACAATCAACTGTTATACACAATTTTGTTATTCTTTGTGCTCGAAAATTTGTCATGCGTATACCCAAATGACGAAAACTTTACAAAATATCGGGAGATGAGAAGATAATGCATACTTAAAGTCTCACACATCAATGTTTACCCGTATATAATGTCCCTGTGTATTTTATATATAGGGAACTTAAAGCAGATGGTCTACTGTGTGAAATTTCACGACTTGGCTCGGCGACTGTTGAATTTTTTTTTTTTCTTTTCTTCTTCAATGCATTCAAGTATAAACACCTTGGTACATTTAAATAGGTACTTTGACGCGCTACATTCTAGAACACCTTTCATCACCCGAGCAGTGCTCGATTGTAGCGCTATAGTAAAGGGCTTGAAAGAGAAACTTGACTCCAAAGTGACAAAGTTCTAGCTCTTCGGCAGTAATAATGTGCGTAAAATGTTGTACCGAAATGTCGCGATAGATTGAAATAAAAACTCTATTATTAACACTTTTTTTTCACTCCAAACTTGTTAAAAAATATTTTTTTTTTTTTAATTTCATTTACGACAAATGATTAATTATAAGGAAAAAGTTTCAATAAAGTTTCAACACAATACTCCAAAGCCAACTTTGTTTCAAGGGTTCAAACCAACAAACAAAAGACTCGTCCATCCATGCCTAAAATATAAAATCTCTCGTTGAAAGATACGTTTACTGTATATCGGTGTTTTCGTGAAGTGCTCTGAGAAGGCTCCGAGCAGTACGGGAAAAAAAAACCAAACAAACAAACTAATTTAACGGGGGGAGGGGGGAAACAAAGCTTCTTAAAAATGGGTGTATTTTGATAATAACGAAATTGTTGATTGATTGACTCATCCTCAGGCCATAACTTGCCTAAAGCGTGCCCACTACCTGAATCCTCTGGCTCTACCGGCGGCTTGCAACTTGGGCATTGTCTTCTTGACAACGGGCCAGCCAGCTTCCGCGGCCATATACCTGTGCGGTGCCGTCAGCGCCGACCCCGACAACGCCATGCCTTACCTGCTGCTGGGCCGTGAGTTGTATACACACATACCTTTCACTCTCAACGGGGAATGGACATTTTTTTTGTTTTTTTGCACCCTTTCTTTTTAAAAAAAAAAAAAAAAAAAAAAAAACAATAATAATAATAATAGAGCGAAAATTGGTCGCTTGCGGCATAACAAAGACTCGAACGACGCGTCGTGCATTTGCAAAGTAATTATGTCCAGCCCCGGGTCTATAATAGCGTAGAAAGACGGAGTGACGGTGCGTTATAATTATAAGTGCTCTGTGTTGGATACAGTGGCGCTGAAGAGGCTGAGCGACCTCGAGGGGGCTGAAAAGGCCCTTGAAAAGGCGTACTCGCTGGGTCCGCAGGAGCCCCACGTGCTCGTCAATTACGCGGTCGTGCTGGACGCCCAGGGCAAGCCTGGACGCGCCCTCGAGATACTACACGTACTGAACGACGTGACCGCCCTCGTCGAGATCAACGCTCAGGTATACACAATATTTTGTGTGTTATCTATTTTGCACGTATACGGGCTGACCATTCGTTGAGCACGACTACTTACTCGTTATTCCCTCCCCCACTGGGTGTGCGCAGGTGTCGAAAACGGCCAAGCTGCTGGCGGACAAACTCAAGATAAGCACCGACGAAGAACAGAGGATTCTGGCCGACAACGAAGTGTAAAAAATGATGAGCTCTACCCCCGGGCCGATCTTCGAGGAGTCGATCGATAATATAAATATATAATATACAGTTCGCTTGAACGCACCAAGGATAATTGAACTCTCCCGTGGCTGTGCAACGGGTAAACTCCCTATACTCTTGCGGGGCTGTACGTGTATAATTAATGAAGTTTGCACGTTCGGATTCTTCCTGGGCACGCGAGCGTCGGAAGTTTATTAAGCTTTGCCATGCGCCGCGAGCTCAGGCTTCTCTCGTTCAACCGCCCGATTTATCGGTTCACCTATATACATTGGACGTAGAGTGTTGTTTGCAGTATATACGTATACTGCACCTTGGAGTTGGATTAAAAACGTGTGATATAATGACTTTGGTGTAAATAAAACAATTGATGGAGTACATTGACGCAACAGTGTGTATTTTAAATGACATTTCAAAGTAATTATACGTACATGGCATGATTCGCGTTCGAGGACTCGCGCAGCCGGGCTCAAGAGCTTTCGGGATCTCCTTAAAACGCGAATCGCACACGCTTACACTTAGTTGTACATAATATTTAAAAAAACGGAGATTATACACACACGCATGCACATAACATTGTGTGTATCAATTCGGTGAATTATCTATAACGTGTGGGTATTTCGTTTGCAACTCACGAGAATCAGTCATTTTCGTTGTCGCCGAACAATTCATCGTTATTTTGCTGATTGACCGTTACTCCCGAGGTTGGTTATAAAAATAATTTCTTTCACTTGTCACCCCTCGACGTTCTCCATCATCTCTTGCATTCTTCCGTTAAAACAAAGAACCTCTTCACACGGATCGTCGCAAAAAGCTTCTCTACAGGAAAAAAAAAAAAAAAAAAAAACACAACTCGTTACGTTGTCCTTTGCCTTATCCTTTTCCTTACATGTATACATACGAGAAGGGGGGGTGGGTGGGGAAATTGAAGACAGAGGCTCTTGGCGGGGGGTGCATTTTATTTTCGCACCAACGCCAGCGTAGGATGCGACGGAGGAAAAGTGGCAAAGGATGAATGCCCGTCAGTCTGCGATGCGCCGGGGAACGGCACTTTAATCTCGAAGGAATTCGCTCGCCTCTCTCTACAAATATACGTGTGTTCCACCTATAATATATCTATGTACATTGGCAGCTCGGATCAAACGACAAAGAGCCCGACGATCTCTCTATATGTTGGCTTTTCTCTCGCTTTAATATACATTTTTTCTCGGGTGTTTGTGCACGCCAACCCGGGGATATATACACGCACATCGCCGAACTTTCATCCGTAACACTCGCAGCAGTCATACATTTATATATATACACATAATTATTTTAAATAATTTTATTCCGGTAAAAAGTGTGACGCAACGCAACCCTGTATCGGTGGATCACTCGCTCAAAGTGGATTGTATATATAACACTTTGCGCGAAAGGAACGATGACGTTATATGTATAATATATATTTTCGATGCACAAGTATATAAAATACACCGCACTTTGTATAGGTACAATTAAAAGTATGAAATATTAGAAGAAAAAAAGCATGATAGTTTCACACATACGTGCTCTGTACAATGTCCGTGTGGTGGGTGCAAGCCGGCTGCCAAGCGGCTATGGCGTTCGGTTTGAACAATTGTCCGAAGGTCGTGCGAAACTGCCGGGACATGGAGCAGTAGAGTACGAAATTGACGGCGCCGTTGAATAGGGCGAGTATGTCCATGATCTCGCCGAGGCTGTGGTAACAGCTCCTGAAGAAGCACTCACCGAGGAGAGCGGACAGGAGGCCGAGGACCCCCTGCGGGAACTCGGTGATGAGGAACAGCAGGAGTACAGCGAGGAGCATGCGGGTCGTGCGATCGGCTCGGCGCTCCGTTCGCTCGGCCGATGCGCTCGTCGAACTGCCGGCCACCTGCAGGAGCTGCCGGCGGGCCTTGGCTCTGCTTCGGGAAACACGGGTGACATGACTTTATTTATTTGTTCTTTTTCACGCTCTTGCTCCCCAGTCCCCTTCATTCGCTCACATTGGACATCAATATATCGCTGATTTATTCCATTTATTGCGGTCTTTGTACGAGTTTTATTTATGGTACACATCTTTCTTTCGGTGGGTTTGTAGCTCCATATTTGTCCATAGGTATACCTTTTATACCTTTATTTATACGAATCATCAATCCAAGTCAGATTACGCGGACACAAGAAATATAGTATACGTATTCATGTCTATTCTGTACAGATAATTTGGCAAATCATCATCAATATTATTACTAAACCCACAATTATTCTCTCTCTCTTTTTTTTTTTTTCATACGTATGCCCTTGTAGGTATATATAAATTGTAATGTACACAAAGAAAGAAAGAAAAGAGAAGAGAGAGAGAGAGAGAGAGAGAGAAAAATAAAGATAATAATTTCGAAATCAAGACACTATAGAGCAATAAACATCATCCCTCTCCCTGCGAGGGATATCAGATCCAGAGCTATTACGCGCTGATATTGGGGGAGCAAATTAATGGACAGTCGTCGAGTACTCCTACATTATTATATATAGGTTGTATATTTGTTGCGCCAAAGCAATCAAAACAGTTGGAAATGGGTTTTCAATTATACTTTGTGTACACATATGTATACGTATACTGAGAGAATTTGATACTAACTTGTAGAGCGCCTGGATGAGTCGCCAACTGATGACGGTGAGGACGAGACAAGGCAGGAGCTTGACGAGGACCCCGAGAAGCCAGAAGTTTAGCTGGTACAGGAGTCGCCGGCCATCCGACCCACCGCCCGAGCCCCTCGCGTCCACGTGGTACAGCACCTCCACTCTGCCACCCTCGTAAACCCTTTGAGCTCGAATCTGCACCCAAAGTATTTTATTTTATTTTTTACCATACAACTTCAAAAGCGTATTTTCATTTGTAACACAAAAACTTTTACTTATTCTGCATTTCGTTGGCGCGTCAATAATTTCTGTTTGTCATACAGGTATATTTGGTTAAATTTTTCAAGAGGAAAAGAAATTGTTTTTTTTTTTTTTTTTTTATTGTTGAAATTTTCCGATTTTCATGATCGCTACGTAATAATCAGGTTTCTCGAATTACCGATTTTTCATGTTTCGTATTTTTTTTCCTTCTCTTTGACCACCCGTCAGGCGTGTACATGATGTTGGTGAGAGAGAAAAAAAGTCGAGAGAGCAATTTTTTTTTTTTCCCACTGGCCTCCGCACGGGGCCGAGATTTACATGAAAAACTAGATGAAAGCACACACTGACGCGTGTTATGATACATGCAAATGTACATTTATATTTGCACGTACCCCGAAAACGAAGTAACTCGGGGCACAGGCGAGCACTGCCACGAGCATGCTGCCGAGCAGGGCCAATCTGTAGCGGTCGGGGCTGCACCAGCTGCGGCTGCACTGCGGGTACCTGTTATACAGATTATTTCATTTTCACCCGTCCACTTTTATACATTCGACTTTTCTTCTTCTTTTTCTTTTTTTTTTTTTTTTTCTCTTGCACAATTTTTCATACGTTATGCATCGAGATTATTAAACTACTATATGCAAACGGATCAACGAAAAAAAAAAAGAAAAAGTACTACTTTGCGCGAAGTTGCTACTTTTTTCATTCAAGCACAAATAAAGGGCGCATACGAGTACAAGGATGACAACTAGCACGTACCTGACGACGATGTACCGGTAGACGGCGAGGGCGAGGGTGAGGGCGATGCTGACGGTGTGCAGCAGTTGGCTAAAGTGCATGTGGAAGAGGACAAAGACGGCCCAGCCGTAGGGAAAGAGCCTGCGCTCGGGGAGCACGAGATACTCGTACACGGCGAACAGCATGTACTCGAGCATGACGAGGACGTCGCAGGCGGCCAGGCCGGTGAGTATGCGATTGACCCCGGCCCGCCAGAGCTCCTTGCGCGTGAGCACGGCCACGTTGAGGAGATTGGCCAGGGTACCGAAGCCACACACCAACAGGGCCACGTAGCCGTGGTACGCGCGGTAAGCACCGGCGACACGGCGCACCAGACCACCGCAGTGGCAGGGCCCGCACTGGCACGTGGGACCATTATTTTCGCTGCTACCTACCGGTGGGCCGCCGGTCAGGCTCCATTCGGGCCCGAAGGCGCTCAAACTGTAGTCCAAGTCCTCCTCGGTTATGTTCAGGTGGCGCAGCAACTCCGTGTAATTGTACATCACACATATCACTGACCGAATATCGGCCGACTGGCGACTACACGTGGCAACTCTCCCGATGCGCTGTGATTATTTCAATTATTTACCAGCCTTTGCGCCATAAGCCGAGGGAGCTTTGATTACTCCGGCTGAAAAGCGTATATATATATGTACGTATACGTAGGGATGGAAGGAAAAAAGCAGCACCGAGTGCCTCGTCACTCGGGCCAAATGAAATCTGCGGCAGCGCTCATCATCGTCAGGGGAAATAATCAACTTTCCCGGGCTTTCATTTGTGCCATTCTCTCTCGCGCCCCTGCGCCGCTACTGCACGTATAAACAGCCCCGCGGATTAAGATTCTCGGGGTGGTGTGTATAATTAAGTCCTTCGTTTATTGTCCATCGCGTAATTGGTACCGGGTGCTAGGAAACCTGGAAAAAGCTGGTTATTATACCTCTGTAAAAGTAATTCCGGGAGGGGGGAAAAAAAATGAAGAGCTTGAATCGTCACGGATTCAATGGACACCCCGAGCGAGTGATGCAGTTGTGGATGTGTATATACGTATACCCGGACACCAGAGCGAGTGCAACAAACGGATCCGAGACGACTGACGCCGAGAATTTAATTAAGTCGGAGTAATAATAATAAGCCAGACATGGGCGAATGCGGATGCGCCATCCCGTGTGTGTATGGGTGCAGCTTCTTGGTGGCAAGGGTCTTTCGTGTTTCAAAGTGTTTTGGTATTGAATTTTGGAAGACGGGCTTTGCTATACCCATAAGTACCGCACTTCGTACGCGGGGCCAACTCTGGCTCGTACAAATGTGAATTTTTGCGTTTTATGCTTTTTTTTTTTTTTTTTTCAATCCATGAATTATGTATGATCCAACTTTGAATCGGCGAACACGAAATTTTCAAGAGGGACAGGGGCTCCTGTAGATTCTCCCCCTTATGTTTATTTATCCGAGGAGAATCTTACTGTGTGCTTGTTTTACTTGAAGAAAAGAAACATTTTACTCAAGTGTTACAACGAGGGTTGGGGCTGCGGTTGGCCAAACAAGATCCAACGGGTGGATTTATCAGCAAAGTTTTGATAGCGAGCTTCCGCCCGACTTCTGGGCGTTTTTTCTTCCGATGGCGCTGTGTGTGTGACTCGGTTTTTTTTTCTCTTTTTTTACGGCACCACGTAACACTTGATGACTACTACGTTATCGTCAAACAGAGAACGATCACCCGATCCTTCTTGCGTCTTTGTGATTTTATACTATGCATTATACGGATGTATCAATCTGACGTTTGTACGACCTTGGGGAAATTTTTTTTT